AGTTTGGGAGTCTGTCATGCTTCAAGGTAGATACAAATTCAGTCTCCCTTGGCAGGTCTTATTCTGTGATCAGACAGCCAACTGCTGAAGCCAATACCTGGAGCCTACCCTAGTCGGAGGCTCAGAACAATAAAAACCAAGCCTGCACTTTGTGATTGGTAGTGATTTTGATCTGATTTGAAACCCCAGGCTTTTTTCTACACTGTCTTCTTAGACTTGGGGTCTGCAGTTATCAGGACTTGCGAGAGGACAGAGGGGCAGGGCAGATGGCCTGGTGCAGGTAGAGGGGGTTTGGAGTGGGCCAGGTCCTCTTGAAAGTGTTGGTCCCAGGAGGGAAAATGAAGCATACCAGTCATTCACACTTCAGTGCAAGTTAGTGTTGTAGTTGTTGAATTCATTGTTTCTTGCTTGAGGTCCAAGGTAAGGGAGAGAGTGTGTCTGTTTTGATCATTGCTTGTTCTGGGGAGAGTGGATTTCAGAGGTCCCAAGGAAGAGGAGATTGTAGCAGGAGCCTCAGCTCCTAACCTGGGTTCAAACTCCATACCTGCCTAGAAGTTCCTCCCTCTCTCTGCCTCTGTTTCCTCATCTGTGGAATGAGGACACCTTATGGGGCCTGAGCAGATTTATTAAGACGATGGGCACACGAACTCTTTGCAGATCCGCCTCCCAAGGGCTGGAGGTGGAGGGAGGGGTGGGTTTTGCATTTTCTGTCCAGCGAAACCTGCTCCCCAATCTTCGGCTCTCCTGCAGGGCTTTTCCTGCTTCAGCGAGCCCCGCTTCCTGGCTCCCATGGGAACCACCGAGGCCACACTCCGGATGGAAAACGTGGATGTTCGGGAGGAATGGCAGGACGAGGATCTTCCCAGGTAGGACCTTCGGGTCCCGAGCCACTCACGGCCCAGCGCCTCTGGGGGTGGAGCTCAGGAGGTGCTGCTGATGCCATCTAGAGCCTCCTGGAGTGCCAGTGGTGGTGGTGCATGTCTGTCACTCCAGCTTCTTGGGAGGCTGAGGCAGGAGGATCACAAGTTCTAGTTCAACCTGGGCAACTTGGCAATTTAGTGAGACCTTGATTCAAAATAAAAATGTATAAAAGGGCTGGGGATGTAGCTGAGTGCGAAGGCCCTAGGCTTGGATCCCAGTATTACAAAAATAAAAATTAAAAATTAAATGAAAACAGATTGGAGAGAGGAGAGCAAGGAGCTGTGAGCTGAGGGCTACCAGTGCCTCTGGGAGCTGGTTCAGGTGGGTCCTGGATTCTCCCCAGGCTCTGGGAGGGACCAGTACACACCCACATCTGGACCAAAGCCCAGGGAAGCTGACTTTGGACTTGCTTCCAGCCTCCAGGATTGTGAAGGCGAAGCATGGGAGGTTCCGAGGCAGCAGCTCCATGGTGATCTGTCACCGAAGCCGTGCTGTGGGAGTCCACTCTGTGTCACTGTGACAATATGCCAGAGGCAGCTCACTTGATAAAGAAAAGGGGTTATGCGAGCTGGAAGTGGAAAGAGGAAGAGGCGATTGTGCTGAGGACCCCACTGACTGGGCCACCTCATGGCGGAGGGCAAGGGCAAAGATGTGTGTGAGAAGGAGGAAATCACCTTACAAAGAGGAAGCCACAGAGGCTGGGTGGGCGGAGCTCTTTGACAGGGTTCTAGCAGCCATCCCTGGAGAGCCAATCAGAGTCCCTCCAGACTACCCTGGTGCCTTGTGAGGCCAGGCCCACAAGGACCTAAAGTTCTCCACCTAGGCTCCGCCTTTTAAAGGTCCCAGCACCTCTGTATTGCCACACCAAGGACCAAGCTTCCAACACCTGCACGTTTGGGGGACAAACAACCATAACCTATGCTGAACAGTTTGCATGGTTATTTTGTCTATGCCTCTCTTCCCACCAAACAGAACACCTCACCAAAGCTCAGTGCAAAGGCCCTGGGTTCAATCCTAGTAACTTAAAAAATAATAAAAAGTTGAACAACCACAAAAAAAAAAAGCTATCTCTCCTCCCAAGCTGAATGGGGATAGAACAGGGACTGAACACAGCTGCAAATGGGGACAAGGCCAGTTCTGAAAGGGACGAGGACAGCTGTGCAGGAGCCGGTGGCATCTTTCCAATGAGTTCCCAGCTGCAGTGTCCCCTGGCAGGACAGTGGGCTCCTGTGCACCCCGCTCCCGTGCCACTGCCAGCTGGCACTGTGCCAGCAAGGCCTCTGTCTTCCCCGTCTCAGGAAGAAATGAGTGTGGCTCCTTGACGCGGGGCCCAGCTGTGGCCACACAGTGCTCCTCTGTGGATTTCAGATAATGCCAGTCTATTCTCCCAGCTCAGCTACACCCCCGCCCCTTTACATTTTTAAATTTGAGACGGAGTCTTGCTAAGTCACTAAGTTGCCCAGGCTGGGTTCAAACTTGCAATCCTCCTGACTCAGCCTCCTACAGTGCTGAGATGACAGGTGTGTGCCACCGCACCCAGCAGGCATCTGCTTTATTCTCTCATTTGCTCATGGTCTTCTTCATATACAGGACTCACACCAAAGACTGGGCGCGCACAGCCCTGGGACTGGCCACAAGGGCTCTGTGGGTGGTGGCAGTGTTTGCCCTCCAGGCTTTCAGCTGAGGAGTCCATGAAGCTTGGAACCCCCATGTTCTCAGCGAAAACCTCCTTTACTTAAAGGCAGTGAGCTGTAGATGTTGATCTCATTTACAAAATTCCTTCACAGCAATACCTAGTCTAGCGCTTGAATGAATAACTGGGGACTATGTTTTAGCCAACATGATACATAAAAATACCCACAAAGACAGGCACCCCTGTCTTCCCAGCACTGGGAAGGCTGAGGCAGGAGGATCTTCACGTGTTCAAGGCCAGCCTGGGCTACATATTGAGACCCTGTCTCAAGAAAACAAACAAAAATTAAGCTATAAACACCCTATGGTGGGGCCTGGCATGCATTGGCCAGCAGGCTGGTGGTGTAGAATAGAGTTCTAGAAAATTTGAGAGCAAAGGCCGTTTGGACTTAGGTGACAGTGAGAACTGGCCTGGTAAGCAGGAGCAGGAGCAGGAAGGAAATTCGCACCTCAGTTAGCATGGGAGACTTGTATCAGCCAGTAGAGGCCAGTTTGGAGGGAAAAGTGTCCTGATTTGTGATGATATGGAAATCTAGACTTTTTGTGTCACAGCTGTGATTTGACAGCAGATTTTTAAATGTTTTCTTTGAAATGCTGTGTGGGTGAAACAAAACTAGTTTGGGTATGTCAGTGTCAGCCTGCAATTTTTAAAAAATAGTACTAGGAGGGCCGGAGATTTAGCTCAGTGGTTCCGCCGCCTGCCTCGAAAGTGCAAGGACCTGAGTTTGATCCCCGGTACAAAAAAATAATAGCACTGGGGATTAAACCCAGGGGTTTGCATTGAGCTCCATCCCCATCCCTTTGTATTTTTTAATTTTTGAGAAAAGGTCTCACTAAATTGCCCAGGCTGGGGTTGAACTTGAGATCCTCTTCCCTCAACCTCCCAAATCATTGAGATGACAGATGTATGGCATCAATCATGGCTTTTATTTCATTTTATTTTTGGAGACAGGGTCTCACTATGTACCCCAGGCTGGCCTTGAACTCACGGTGAGCCTCCTGCCTCAGTCCCCTGAGTGCTGGGATTACAGGCATGTGCCACTGTGCCTGGCCAGGGCTACTTTAAAAGGATGTAAGTGTTTGCCTGCCACATTTCTTAAGATGATCTTTATTGTTTAGAATAGTCTCATTTACAGAAAAGTTCAAAGATAATAGGAAGAATTCCTATAGTCAACCATCAGTTTCCTCTGCCTTTAACATAAATTAGCGGTGGTGCACCTGTTCCAGTTGATGAATGAGCATCAACACATTATTAGTGACTGAAGTCCGTGGTTTATTCATATGCTCTTGGGTTGGATTGGTTTTTTCTTTTTTTTGTACTGGGAATCGAACTCAGGACCTTGTGGTTGCCAGGCAGGCACAGTGCCACTGAGCTACATCCCTGGCCCTGGATTGATTTTTTTCTGTTGTTTGTATTTATTTATTGACAGAACTGGGAATGGAACACAACCCTTGTTCATCCTAGGCAGATGCTTGCCCCTGAGCTACATCCTCATCCCTTTGTATTTGATTTTGAGACAGGGTCTTACTAAGTTGTCTGCGGATGGAAGTGGTGACTCTCCTGCCTCAGCCTCTCAGAGTGCTGGATGACAGGCATGGCCACCATGCCAGGCTTCCTGTGTCCGCTACACTGAAAGTCAGCAGCTCATCAGAGACCACATCTGCTCAGTCGCCCTGTGGAGAATTTGATTTCTATTCTGAAGGGGACAAAGCTTCAAGACAGTGGGAGACAAAGTCCTTCTTCTCTCAGGGTCACAGTTTGCTCTGTCTGAGAATCCCTAAAGCCAGGCATAGTTGTGCAGGTCTGTGATGTCAGCACTTTGGGAGGCTGGGGCAGGAGGATCTCAAGTCCAAGCCTATCCTGGGCAACTTAGGGAGACCCTGTCTCAAAATTAAAGTAAAAGGGCCGGGGATTTAGCTCAGTGGTCCCGCCACCTGCCTCACAACCTTAAGGTCTGGAGTTCGATCCCTGATACCAAAACAAAACAAAACAAAACAAAATAAAAATAAAAAGGGCTGGGGATGTAGCTCAGTGCAAAGACTCTGGGTTCCACCCCCAGCACTGAAAAATAAATAAATAAATAAATGTAAATAATTCTGAAAAACGTCATGTTAATTTGACAATTAGAAAGGAGTCCTCTGGCACCAGTGGATTGTGAATTTGCCATGCCCGGCGGAGCTGTATGTGAGGCCAGGGAATCCCTGGATCTGAATCTGTTTTGTCACTTTTCTTGTTTTGTCTGCCATGCTGGCTGCGTCGAATTCTTCCTCTGGATTTCGATGTCTGCCTGTCGGGGTCCCAGGCCGCTCCCGGAGGAGACAGGGATGGACCTGCTGGGCAGCCCCAGGGAAGATGCGTCCTGTAAGTTTGTGCCCAGACCTGGCTGGGGACGGGGACTTCGAGGGCAGGGGAGCCGCCCCACACCAGGTCTCCTTACCAGCGTCTGCTCTGCCCCTTTGTGGTCCAGCACGGTGCCCAGCTACAGGGCAGAGGTGACCAGAGAGGGACACGCATGGCCTGAGGTCACACAGCAGTGACATCTAAGTCTTCCTGTCCTGCTGAGCCCAAGAGGCAGCGGGGCGGGGGGGGGGCAACACTGGGGACACTCAGGCCCCCGGCCCCAGAGAGGCCGAGCTATCAGGGGTCTTGGTGTGTGAGCTCCGCCCTGAGCTGTGTTTGGGGGGGGGGGCTCCAACCAGGTTACCCTGGGGGAAGATGGTGGCTTGCTGCGTGCAGCTGCCTGAATCTGTCCACCTCGTCATCCCAGAGGCCAGCCCAGGTTCCCTTCCGGGCCAGAAAGATGGGGGATGGGATTCAGTTTGTTTTAGTTTAGTGGGGGCGGGGGCTGGAACCCAGCGAACTTTGGAACTTCGCTTGGGCTAGGTAAGAGCTCACCCATGAGCCACACACACCAGCCCTGTCAGGATACCTGCAGATTGAGCCACGTAGGATGGCACACATTTGTCATCACAGCCACCTGCAATTTCAAGTAATTTAGTGAAATCCTGTCTCAGAATAAAATAAAAAGGCTGAAGTGTGGCTCAGTGGTGAGTACCTGCCCGGCATGGACAAGGGCCTGGGTTCAGTGCCCAGAAACCTAGAGATGGGAGGAAAGACTGATGGCTAATTTTATGTGTCCACCTGCCTAGACCCTGGCACCTGGATATTAGGTCAAACATTATTCCAGATGTTTCTAAGAAGGCATTTTTAATTTTTTTTTTTTTTGGTACCAGGGATCAAACTCAGGTCCTTGGGCTTGCTCAGCAGGTGGCGAAACCACTGAGCTAAATCCCCGGCCCTCATAAGAAGGTATTTTTAGATGAGATTAAGATTTAAATTAGTAGGGGCTGAGGATTTAGCTCAGTGGCACCATCCCTGCCTGATAAGTGCAAGGTCCTGAGTTCAATTCCCGGTACCAAAAAAAAAGATTTAAATTAGTGGACTTTGAGTGAAGCCTATGGCCCTCCTTTAAGAGGGTGGGCCTCATTTAATTAGTTGAAGGCTTAAACAGAAAAAGACTGAGATCCGCCGAGGAAGAGAGAATTCTGCTGGCATGTGGCTTTGGTTGAGCTTGCAGTCCCAAGTCCTGCCTGGGTGTCCTCCCCTAGCTGCCCTGAGGAGTCCCCAGCCCCTTGTAACCACGTGAGACCATTCTTTACAATATCCCTCTCTCCACACACACATACTGCTGGGCCTGCTTCTCCAGAGGACTGTAATCTAACTAACATAGGAGATTATCCTGGATCCCGGCTCATCTGGAGCTCAGTGTCCCCCAGAGCCCCCCTGAGAGGGCAAGGGAGGGTGAGCGGACTAGAGAGGCTGAAGATGCTGTGCTGCCGCCTCTGCAGATGGAGGTCAGGGCTGCGAGCTGAGGGCTCCATGCTCCGAAGAGCAGACTTCAAGGGGTAAACAGGCCCTCCCAGCCCTTCTGTCAAGCAGCCTGGACCAACCCCCCCCCCCAACCCGTGCCAAACTCCAGGAATCCCAAGCCTGGGAACTGGAAGGAAACGCCCACTCTGCCATCCAGAGCCTTAAGGTAGAATTGCTATTGGCTTCCATCCCTGAGAACGAGAACGGCCAACCTAGGACAGTGGTGAAGGAAGAAGAGGCAGGCAGGATGGGCAAAGCCAGCATGGAGTGGGGGACCGGCTCCTGCCCCTCAAACCAAGTGTTCCAGCCGGGCTTGGAGGCACAAGCCTGTCATCACAGCACTCTGGGAGGCTGAGGCAGGAGGATCACAAGTTTGAGCCCAGCCTGGACAACTTAGTGACTTAGCAAGACTCTGTCTCAAAATTTGAAAACAATAAAATAAAAAGAACTGGGGATATAGGCCCCAGTGTGAAGGCCCTGGATTCAATCCCAATAGGGCAAAACCAAAACCAAAAACCAACCAAACAAGTCATCACACTGGCATCTGTCTGTGTGGCTTTTCTAGACCACAACAGGTGCCACCGATAAGGCAGCTTCAAAAATAGACATGGATTCCCACTGCCCACTGGAGGCAGCAAGTCGGAGCTCAAGGTGTGGACAGGGCCGGCTTCCTCAGGCTGTGGGGAGAATCTGTCCCTGCCGTTCCCTGCCTCTGGTGGTGGCTGGTGATCCTGGGAGGTGGACCTGTGGAGGGACCACCCCGATCTGTGCCTCTGTGGTCTCAGCCTTTCTCTCCATGTTTATCTGCGTCCCAGTGGTTCGCTTTAATGAGGACAGCATCACCATGGATGTCCTAGGACCCACTCTAATTCCACTGCAACAAACATGATTGATTGATTGACTAGTTTGCTTGTTTTTTGAGACAAGGTCTCGCTGTTTAGTCCAGGCTGGCCTTGAACTCACTATGTAGCCCAGGCTGGCTTCGAACTCACTGTGATCCTCAGCCTCTCAAGTCCTGGGATGACAGGTGTACAGCCCTGTGCCCCTGCACCCTGGTTCTTTTTATTTAGGGAAAATTCCATTGATGTTTTTAGTTGTGTCTTTTTTTTTAAATTAAGGACAAATTCCATTCACTTTCAAGGATTGAGAATAATCCTCTTTGGCTCCAGTTTCTGTCCTGGGGCCCACGTGGTGCTGTCACCGCCTTCTGGCTCTCCCTGGTAGTGACTGATGTCACGTCCACACACCCGTAGCTTAGCCATCACTGCACCGTGGCTTTTAGTTTTATCCCATCAGAAAGAGAGAGCAAAATTTTTACCAAACTCACTAAATTCACCCCCTAGACCCACTTCCCGTGAGGAAGATGGAGGAACCCAGAAACACAAACTGGAAATCCTCCTGTCTCGGTCTCCCGAGTAGCTGGGATTACAGGTATATACTACCATGCCCAGCTCACAGGCTCTGGACAAAACATGGCTGCTCTGTTTGTAGCATTTTCTGCCAAGGTACACGTTGATTCCTTCTAAAGCTCAGCTCTGACCCCTATGTAGACAGGACCAAGAAATTCAAAGGGAAAAAACAGGACCCAGGGTGTTTAGTTCCTGATAATTTCACCCTCCAAACACTGAGGAGTAGGGAACCACTCACTGCACCCTCAGTGGCCACAGAATGAAGCTGAGGGTGAGGCCCAAGGTCCCCCCAAAATTCCACCTCTGATTTAGACATTGCTTTGGGGCCAGAGGGTGGCTTTTCTCCCTGGCTCACTTTTGGGGATCAGCTCTGCTCAGCTTGTTCTCAGACTGGCTTTAACCCCAGGGGTCAGAAACTGCCTTAAAAGGGGACAAGGTAGATGTGGTGGTGGGTGCCTGTCATCCTAGAGTTTGGGAGGCTGAGTCAGGAGGATTACAAGTTTGAAGCCAGCCTGGGCAACTTCACAAGACCCTGTCTCAAAATAAAAACTAAAAAGGGCTGGGGTGTGACTCAGTGTGAAGGCCCTGGGTTCCATCCTGATTACGGAGACAGAGAGACAGGTGTCCAGGCCTGCTGTGCTGTCCCCCCTCCCACAGCCCCGCCCAGCGCGCTGAACTTCGGAGCTCATCGGAAGAGGAAGACGCTGGTGGCCCCAGAGATCAACATCTCCCTGGACCAGAGCGAAGGCTCCCTGCTGTCTGACGACTTCCTGGACACCCCTGATGACCTGGACATCAATGTGGATGACATCGAGACCCCTGATGAGACTGACTCACTGGAGTTCCTGGGAAACGGGAATGACCTGGAGTGGGAAGGTAAAAGGCCAAAGGTCTCTTTCGGGGCTCCCCTGCCCGCTTCCTAGAGCCTTCTCTGTACTCCCTGTGGGTGACAGAGTGGCCGGGGTCACAAGGACCTAACTCAGGGCACAGAGCTCCTCCAGGGGGGTCTGTCACTCTGCAATTGGATGCATGTATTTCTGGTTTCTTTTTTTTTTATTATTATTATTTTTTGGTACTGGGGATTGAACTCAGAACCTTGCACTTGTGAGGCAGGCACCGGAACCACTGAGCTAAATCCCTGGCTCTCGTTTCTCCTTTTTTGTATGTGGAGGGGATTTGAGATAGAGTCTCACTATGTAGCCCAGGCTGGCCTCAAACTTACACTGATCCTCCTGCCTCAGCCTCCCGAATGCTGGGATGACAGGTGCACACCCCCACACCTGGCTCGATGCACTTTTTTCTTGTACACTTTTGAGTGTTGTGAGGAACATGACCTTCCCACAGGTGCTCAAAGGTGATAGGGCCCATTGGACCACAGCCTGGCCACGCAGCATGCTGGCCCTGGCCATTCCCCTGGGGCAGGTCCTGAGTGCACACGAGGGACGCAGTGATGTGACAGACACAGTCCCCACCTGCACACTGAGGTGGCCAGAAAGACGGGTGCTGAATGATGAAATATGCACACAAAAGGCATTGGTCCTGGGGTTATAGGAGAATAAGAAGCAATGAGAGAGATTGGATGCTGGGCCATGTCTGGGGACACGTGTGGCTGTCACGACTAGAGGAGCTCCTGGCCTGGAGCAATATGGAGGCCAGGGACACTGCTGAGCACCCTGCAGTGCCCAGGATGCCCCTCAGAGAACCCGGCCTCAGTTTCCCCTGGGCCTAGGGCAGAGGCCCCGGGTGAGGGTCCCAGAGTGGGTTCCGTTTTCCAGGGCAGCCAGGCAGCTGGGTGATGTCGTTTGAGCTGAGGTCCCATGTGATAGGCCTGGGGCAGGGAGCCAGGCAGAGCCCGAGAGGGGACAGGGTGGTGACAGCAGATCGCATGGGACTCAGGGGTCCCCATGAGGGGTTGGGCTTTAGTGCCCGATGATTGAAGGCAGAGCGCACCGAATGCGGTGTGTGGCATGAGTTGGGAGACATTGCCTGCCGTGGCCAGGGCGGGCAGGACCTTAGGGACAGGGAGGCCCGACAACAAGCAGGATGGATGTTTTGCTAGGAGACGGCGGTGACAGGTGGGGGCAGTTGTCAGAGGGGGTCCCTTGGGAGGGGAGCCAGGAGCACTGGCAGAGTGGGTGTGGGTGGTGGAGCGGAGGCCTGGTCCAAGCTGAGCCCTGAGTTCTTGGCTTGAGCTTTGACCTTCAGTTGTCTTGAGGCAGGAAAAGCAGGAGGACACAGGGGCCCATTTTTAGAGCAATTAAGAAGCCCAGAGAGGGAGGTGCAGTGCACAAGATCACACAGCAAGTCGTTTGGAGAACCAGGCTCTATCCAGACCCCCTGACTTCTGTCCTTGAGCATTTTCTCATGGTCCACAGTTTGGTTTTTTTCAATCAGTATTTGAGTGTGACTGTGTGTGTGTGTGTGTGTGTGTGTGTGTGTATACGATGCACCCCTGGCCCTTTTTATTGTTTAGTTTGAGACAGAGTCTGGCTAGGGGCCGGGGACTTAGCTCAGTGGTTCCACCGCTTGCTGCGAAAGCGCAAGGTCCTGAGTTCGATCCCTGGTACCAAGAAAAGAAAAAAAGGCTTCTGCATAGCAAGAGGAGAAACCACCAACAGTGAAGAGACAGAGTCTGGCTAAGTTGCCCAGACTGGCCTCAAACTGGCAATCCTCCTGCCTCGGTCTCCTGAGTAGCTGGAATGACAGGTATATGTCATTGCATCCAGCTCGGTATGTTTTTTTGACTCCCAGCTCCCCTGTTTCTCCCAACAACCCATGCGAACATGGTTAGTCAGCAAAATACAGGAAAAGAGCTTTTGCTGGTGGCCCAGGAGAGAGAGAGAGAGAGAGAGAGAGGGACAAAAGGAGCAGTAATTGCCGGGAGATATGGGAGATAAGTAGACACTGATGCGGAGCAGGACACGAGACACTCATCTGGGGCCCTTGCTCCAGTCTTTTGGAAGAAGGTGGACACAGAAAATGGTCATTCAGAGGAAAATGGCCTGGACAGGGAGGATGGAAGGCACAGGTGACGTCGGACCACCTGCTGCCTGGGGTGCAATCCTGGACCCAAGCCTTGAATGGGGAGTAGGAGAGGAGGGTGGACAAGCACAGCCACCAGGTGGCAGCGATGGGAGGCTCAGGAGAAAGACCAGGTGAGAGGTTAGGATGACTCCAGACTCAGCTGTCCCTCTGCTTGCCCCCGGGCTGACTTCCAGATGACACCCCTGTGGCCACGGCCAAGAACATGCCCGGGGACAGTGCTGATCTGTTTGGGGATGGCACGGCAGAGGATGGCAGTGCCACCAACGGGCGGCTGTGGCGGACCGTGATCATCGGGGAGCAGGAACACCGCATCGACCTGCACATGATCCGGCCGTACATGAAGGTGGTCACGCACGGAGGTGAGACCCCGCCGTCCCCCACTCCACCCAGGAGTTGTGGGCAGATGGAGGCGTCTGCCTTCCTCTCTGGACTGTGGTCTCTTCTGCTAAGCTTTTCCCTTGCTTAGGGAAGGGGGCGGGCTGGGGCAGGACAGGCAGCGGTAGGAAGGGGCCAGTGTGGCGGGTGGGCTGTTGGAGGTGGCCCAGGACTCAGAGGGGCCTGTCCCATTAGACCTGGGGACACTGGGCCACTCATCCACTGCCTCCTGCAGGGTACTATGGGGAAGGCCTCAACGCTATCATCGTCTTTGCCGCCTGCTTCCTCCCCGACAGCAGCGCCCCGGACTACCACTATATCATGGAGAACCTTTTCCTGTAAGTGCCGCCTACTGCAGGCAGCCCTGGGCCAGCCCCAACACTGCTGAGATGGCCCAGGACCCTGGGGGACCAGGCTGAGGGGACCAGGCTGAGGGGACCAGGCTGGGGGCCCTGGAAGTACTCCCTGGCACCAGGGAAGAGCACGGTGTCAGTGGACCACAACATGGGCCAGCAATCTGCTTTTGAGGCTCCCTGTCTTTGATATCACCACCACCACCATCAACACCATCAGCATACCTTGGTTCTTGGGATTGGTTCCCGGCTGGAGCTGGGGCTCTTGGGGTTGGTCTTGGGAAGCATTCAAGGAAATCATATAAAATTCTTGGAACCTAGTACATGCTCAATAAAATGGTAGCTGCATCCTGAGCCTGCACTTTTACCTTGTGCACCCTCAATCAGGTACGTGATCAGCAGCCTGGAGCTGCTGGTGGCCGAGGACTACATGATCGTGTATCTGAATGGCGCCACCCCGCGGCGGAGGATGCCGGGCATCGGCTGGCTGAAGAAGTGTTACCAGATGATCGACAGGAGGTGAGGGGCAGGCCGAGGACCAGCTAGCTCTGTGCACAAGGGGAAGAAGGGGAGAAATAAAGAGTAACACATAGTGCAGGGCGTGGTGGCACATGCCTGTCATCACAGCATTCAGGAGGCTGAGGCAGGAGGATCGCCGTGAGTTTGAGGCCAGCCTGGGCTATGTAGTGAGACCCTGTCTCCAAGAAAGAAAACAAAAAGAAAACCCAGGCAGGGCAAGTGATGTTGAGCTTAAAAGTGGTGCTGTAGTTTTCTGGGGCTGCCATGGCAAAGCAGAACAAACCAGGCAGTTTGAATGACCCGTACCACCCCTGCCACTTCTAGAAGTCCAAGGTCGATGTGTGGGCTCAACCACCTCCTTCTTCTGTTTTGTTTTGTTTTTTGGTACCAGGCAGGGATTGAACTCAGTCAGGTCCTTGCGCTTGTGCAGCAGGCGGCAAAACCACTGAGCTATATCCCTGGCCCTTGTTTTGTTTCTTGAGATGATCTCACTGTGTACCCCAGCTTGGCCTTAAACTCATGGTGATCCTCCTGCTTCAGCCTCCTGAGTGGACCGGCCCCTTCTGGCCATACAAGGGAGAATCCATCCTGTCCCCAGAGTCTGGTGTTGGCTGCAATCCTCGGTGTCCTCAGCTTGTCCAATTGTCATCCCGGTCTCTGCCTCTGTTGTCACGTGACATTCCCCCTGTGTGCCTGTCTATGTTCAAATGTCCCCTTTTGCAAGGACCCCCGTCACATTGGATTAAAGGTCCATTCTCCTTTAATATGATGTTACTTTAACTCAACTTATTACTCCTGCAGTTTCCCCATTCTCAGATGAGCTCAAAGGCTGCAAGTACACAGGTCAGAGACATTAAGTATGCTCACTGGGCAGCCTCCAGGGCTTTCCATCTCCCCAGCTGAGCTCTGTCCCAGGAAACGCTGACCCCCACCCCCTCCCCAGCCTGGCATCAGGTCCTCCTTCCTGTCTCTGTGGGTCTCACCACACTGGGGCCTCCTAGGAGAGGGACCCTGTGCTGCGTGTCCTCCTGTGTCTGGCTCAGTTCCCTGAGCAGCACAGCCTCAAGGTCTGTTCATGCTGTGGCAGGTGTCAGGATTTCCTTCCTTTTCCTGGCTGAGTAATATTCCTACATGTAGCTGGACCCCACTGTGTGTGTCTATCTTTCTGTCAGTGGACACTGGGCTGTGTCCATCTCTTGACCAGTAGCTTCAGAATAGTTTAAAAATCGGCCCAGCCAGCAACACATCCATGTATTCAGGTCAGTGGAGAGGCTCTAAGACCATTTTGGATCCTTTTCCAGCACTAGATGGTAACAATATGGTCTCAGCTGCTTCAACCTTGCCCAGCTAGTCTGATTGCTCTGCACTGCAGGGGCCCCCCACCCACACACTGTGGTCTCTTAGCTTAGGGATACAAGGGCTGTGTCTGCATCCCCTGTGGGACTCACAACTCTTGGAGCAGGGAGGAGATTTGACCAGCACCTGGAGCCACTCTGGGAGGCTAAGGCAGGAGAATTGCAAGTTTGAGCCCAGCCTGGGAAACTTAGCAAGAATTTAAAAAAAAAATTTTAAAGGACTGGGGATGGAGCTCAGCGGGATGCAGGTGTCAGTGACAAATAGTAGTGCATGGCCCTCCATCCCTGCTCCTGGCCCTTCCTAGGGTCCCTCTCCCCAAAGCCTGCCCCAGAAGGACATCCTGCTCCATTTGTGTCCCCATACAGACTGCGGAAAAATCTGAAGTCCCTGATCATTGTTCACCCATCCTGGTTCATCCGGACCGTGCTGGCCATCTCCCGCCCCTTCATCAGGTGAGCCAAGGAGCCCAGGCCTGTGCTGGTGCCACGGGGCTGTGGTGTGGACCTGGGTGTGTTTCGATGCACTGGTAGCTTCTTTGGTACACAGAGGTATTACTGCCTCAAACTGTCTTTCGTAATATATATATATATATATATATATATATATATATATATATATATGCTGAGCGTCTCCCATCAGGAAATCCAAAATGCAAAATGCTCCAAAACTGCAAGTCTTTCTTGAGGGCCGACATAAAGATGCCACAGTGAATGGCATGTCTGACCCCAGGGGCTGGGTTCCACTCAAACTGCGAGGTCCTAAAAGCATGTGCACAAAAATATCAGGTGTGGTGGTATACACCTTTCACCCCAGCACCTCTGGAAGCTGAGGCAGGCTTGCTGAGGCAAGCTTGAGCCCACCCTGAGCACCTTAGCGAGACCCTGTCTCAAAATAAAAAAATGTCTTTCGAAGGCCCTGAGTTTGATCTTCAATAAGGGAAAAACAAAAACAAACAAACAAAAAAACTGGCTCTCACCTATTGAATGTTTTGGGGAAAAGGGTCTCACTATGTAGCCCAGGCTGGACCCAATTGCTCCTCCTGCCTCAGCCTCCCTTGTAGCTGGGATGACAGGGCCACAGCACAGCCCCCAACTTTTGAATGTTGGCCCTCTTTAATGTTTACATCCATGACCCAGAAGGCTGATGTCATCACACTCACCTTACAGATGAGAAAACCCAGCTCAAAGAGGTCACCCAGTCACGCAGCAAGGTCACAGCCCTCTGCCCCTTGGAGGTGAGCCATCAGCTCCTGACTCTGCTGGGGCCATTGTGTCCCCAGAAGGTGTCACATGTGAGGGGCCTCATCCACATCCTGGGCTCCGCAGGGCAGTGACCCAGTGCATGTGTGACCTGAGTCTTCCCAAGGCCACCTTCAAGTTCAGTGACTTATGAAAGGATTCAGGACTGAAAAACAGTTTATTCCAGTGAAAAGATCCAGACTGAAATGGAAAGAGGAGAGCGATGTGGAGGGGACCTGGGTCCTAATCATGTGGTGACACAGTCTGGCATCCCAGTACTCTGGGAGGCTGAGGCAGGAGAATCTCATGTTGGAGCTCAGCCAGGGAAATTGAGGAAGACATTGTCCCAGAATAAAAAATTAAAAAGTAGGGCTGGGGATTTAGCTCAGTGGTTCTGCCACCTGCCTCGAAAGCACAAGGTCCCAACTTCGATCCCCAGTACCAAAAAAATTAAAAAGTGCTGGCAGTGTAGCTCAGGGGTGAAGCATTCACCTAGCAATGTGGAGGGACCCTGGGTTCCATCCCCCGTACTACAACAAACAAACAGCAACAAAGATAACCCAAGATTGTCACTCTGTCACCGAGCAGCAAGGATTATGTTCCTTCTTGCCAGGGCTTTGGAGCTGGAACAGGGCAGGGTGGGCAGCTGGAGCTCAGGTGCTGGCCTCTGAGAGGGTGTGGCTGAGTAGGTGCTGGCATGGCTGCAGGGAGACTGCCCTCACCCCTCTCCTCCCACCAGCGTCAAGTTCATCAATAAGATCCAATACGTGCACAGCCTGGAGGAGCTGGAGCAGCTCATCCCCATGGAGCACGTGCAGATTCCGGAGTGCGTCCTCCAGTGAGTAGCAGGGTAGTCCCCACCCCGACGCCCCTATCCGGTCCCTGTCACCCCTCTCCCCCCAAGACCAGCAATGAGAAGAGCGGTGGATCTGGGACCTAAACTTATGCACTCTGCACCCCAGGTCCCCAAGGGGGCTTCCACCCCGAGTGTCTCCAACACTTTCTTACCCAGCAGGACATCCTCAACACCTCCCCACTGTTTCCTGCCCTAGAAGTCTCTTTAGCATCATTTTTTTTAAACTTTGATAAAATACATAGAACATAAAATTGACCGTTTCAGAGCTGGGTGTGGTGGTGCACGCCTGTCATCCTGGCACACAGGAGGCTGAGGCAGGAGGATCGCTGTGAGCTTGGGGCCAGTCTGGCTATACAGTGAGTTCGAGGCCAGCCTGGACTATACATAGAGAGACCCTGCCTCAAAAAAACCAAATATATTGATCATTTCAACCAAGCACACGGTTCTGTGGCTTTAGAGACATTCAGATGGATGTGTCTATGGACAGATGCTGGGCCATGCCAAGAAACCAATTTCCCTCCCCAGGGAAACAGGCCCAGCAGATCAGGGCCAGGCAGCTGCCCAAGCCATGGCTAACTTTTCCTCCTTGCTCCGAAGGCTGCTGTGTGAGCAGACATCACTCTCTGCTCCCAGTGGGAAGGGAGGTCCCCAGGAAGTGTGCCTGCCCCAGGAGGTGGAGGGCTGAGTCTGATGCCTTCTTCTCTCTTTCAGGTATGAAGAGGAAAGGCTCAAAGCCAGGAGAGAGAGGTCAGTGCAGAGCGGGCTCTGTGACAGCTTCTCGGGGCTGGGGGCTGAGCCAGGCTCTCCTGGGGACACGGAGGTCCCCAGTGGCTCCGCTTATCAAGGACCAGTGACTGGTCCCACAGGTGTCTCAAGACGCTCCGTTATGGCTTCCAAAAGCAGCCGGAAATGAATGGATAAAACTTTATTCATAAAAACAAGCTCAAACCGCAGAGGGTGATGGCGCACACCTGGAATCCCAGCACTAGGGAGGCTGAGGCAGGAAGATTCCAAGTTTGAGCCCAGCCTGGGAAATTTAGCAAGACCCTGTCTCAAAATAAAATAAAAAGGTAAAAAGGGCTGGATATAGCTCATTGGTAGAGCACTCCTGGCTTCCATTCCCCGGTACTACCAAAAAAAAATCTCCAAACTGTCCTTAGGTCTCTGGCCAAATGACCAGAGAGGTCAGTGTCAGCCAGAGGCCCCTGCCCAGGACAGCAGGCCACCTCCTGTCACCTGGCTTTGTCTGTCCACAGCTCCAGGCCCCAGCCCGAGTTCGTCCTGCCCAGGTCTGAAGAAAAGCCAGAGGCAGTGCTAGAGGAAGACAGGTCAGTATCCAAGCGACCTTGGGGCAGAAGGTGACAACCCCCAGGGGCTGCCATGTCCCCAAGGGGAAAAAGACAGGACTTGACTGAGGGGCAGAAAATTAATGGGGTGGCTGGGTGTGGTGGCACACACCTGTAATCCCAGTACTCAGGAGGCTGAGGCAGGAGGATTGCTGTGAGTTCAAGGCCAGCCTGGGCTATGTAGCGAGACCCTGTCTCCAAAAAATAAAATGAAAATAAAAGTGGACAATTCAGGGGGCTTTTGGTGCATTCATAATATTGTACAATCATTCTCCAACTAGAGAGCGTTCCCTCCTTCTCCCCTGTGCATCCAGCACACACGGGAGACCAAGTTCTGCCCTCAAACAAAGGTTCTGGAAGGTGATCTTTGTCCAAGCCCCACCGTGCAGGCTCCGCCTCTCCATGCCCACCAGACTCTGAGCAAGTAGGGAGTCTTGGTGGTTTCCTCACAGCTTTGGCTGACTTCCTCACAGCTGCCTGCCCTGGCTTGTTTGTTATTCGGCAGATGCTCACTGATGCCTGCTTTGTACCAGACCAGGACCAAGTGGTATCAGCCTTCATGGGGCTCACAGCCTCAGCCAACTGGAGGAAAATATCCAGTTCCTTCAAAATAGGCAACTAGGGGCAGGGATTTAGCTCAATGGTTTCATCACCTGCTGCGCAAGCTCAAGGACCAGAGTTCGATCCCCGGCACAAAAAAAAAAAAAAAATAGGCAACTAACACTAAGCCTCCTTCCCTTTCCCACAGATCTGCGCCAGTCACAGAGGATCAGGAAACAAGGTATGGGTGATACAGGGTGGTCGGGGTGCCTTTCAGAAATGATGTAGTGGATCCTATCCCTGGGACAGTTGTCCCATGATTTACTCAGGGTGGGAGACACTGCACCAGGGAGCGGGGAAGTGGTGGTTACCGCAACCAGTCAGCTTGTCCTCCACACTCCAGGGGGCGCTGTTTCACAGACAGGGCCCCAACCACTACCAGGGACCCAAGCTCCACATTAAATCACCTCATCAGCATACAATGTGACTGAAAAACAGTGAATGTTTAAAATTTTAAAAATGTATTACAGTAAAAGACGCTACTATGAATCCCCCTCAAAATCCTCCCTCTCACTTCAAACACACTTATCTCACATTCTTGCCACTTTCTGAAGCAGTTTGGAAGTCCTCTCTCATGACTGTCTTTAGTTACATTATCCTGGCTTCCTTAACGTCCTGAATCCATTTAAAACATTTCTGTTCCATGATCATCTTGACTTTGGGGAGGAGCCAGAAGTCGCACAGTGCCAAATCCAGTGTAGAAGATGGATGAGGACACCATCGTGTTTTATAAGCTCTTTTCTGTTAGATGGCTCTTGGCAGAAGCATTTGCCATATTTTTTATCACACCTCATAGACAATGAGGAAAGAGGACTCCAGAACTGCTGCAGAAAGTGGCCAGAATCATGGTATGTATGTGTTCAAAGCAAGAGGAAGGATTTTGAGGGAGATTCGTGGCAATGTACTTTTTACTGAAATGAATGTTTTTTAAATTTAAACATTCACCATATTTTTCGATCACACGTCTTAGGCTGTCTGGTACGAGCCACAGTCCCCAGGTGAAGTTTTATCAGGCAGGATATCACAAGGCTTTAGCAATTATTTCCAGGAGCAAAGGCCAAACCTTACCTTAGAAGGCACGGGTTGATCCTCGGCCACACACGCTTCTGCAAGTCTGTCACACAGCCTGGCCTCGTCCCTTACTGCCCCACATGGCTCAGGAAGCCTCAGGCTGAGAAATAAACATCAGAAATGGTCTAAAACCAGTGCTGCCCCCTCCTGGGGACACTGAGAAAAAACAAGTTCCTAATGTATTTTGGTTTTGGTTTTTGGTTTTTGGTACCGGGGATCAAACTTGGGTCCTTGCGCTTGTGCAGCAGGCGGCGAAACCACGGAGCTAAATCCCCAGCCTTCCTAAGATATTTCTGGAAAGACCCTCTAACCCACACTCGCTGCAGATGCGCTCACAGACCCACGCACACAAGGAAGTCAGCCACCCTGGGCGAAAGTCAGCAGACACAACCAGGAGCAGAATGAAACCCTCTGCTGGGGATCCTTAGGGGGACATGATAAAATAAGCATTGCAAGAGATTAAAGATGCAACGGACAGAATTTTATTTTATTTTATTTATTTATTTATTTGGTACCGGAGATCGAACTCAGGTCCTTGTTCTTACGAGGCAGGCAGAGGAACCACTGAGCTAAATCCCCGGCCAGGACAGAATTTTAGACAGGGGTCCCCGGGGCCTGCTCTTCTGCTGGGCCCTAAGAGGGAGGCCCCTGAGAGTTCCCCTGGACAGGCAGGTGACCAATGTCCAGCCTTGAGGAGCAGGCACCGCTCCTGCTCCTGAGAGCTCACCCACCTTAAGGGAGCTCGTTCTTGGAACGCACACATGTGGAAGAGCATTTTCCACTTGTTAAAAAAATCCCAGTCCCTTCTCGCCCTGTGTCTCTCCCCTCCAGCATGTCCTGAGGTGGCCAGATCGAAGAGAAGGACATAAAAGAAGATTCCAGATGCCAAGAAGCCTCTGTCAGATGCCCTCTGGTCCCAGAACTCACCCCACCTCCTCCTGAGTCCTGCTCGCCCCAGGGGACCCGACTTCTCCATCCACCTCTGACATCCAGCGTCCCTGGTAGCTGCTTGGAAACGTTTTTTAAACAACGCAGTTTTAGCACATTCTGGAAAAGGACCCAGTTCTCAGCCCTCCCCATGTCCACGCTTGCAAGCTCACAGCCGAGGAGAGGGAGACTTGTGGGCTGCGGCCTGTGTGGCCCTGGTGACCTTCCTGCTGTTCCCAGCCCCGAGGCCACAGGACAGCCCTCCTGGGCACCAGGCGCCAGATCCTTCTGTCACTGGTCACCCCTCTGTCTGGGGCCACAGACGCCTTCCAGTGTGGCAAGGCCCGGGTTTATCCCCTGCCTTCCCTACTGGAATGTGTCCTGCTCCTGGCCCTCAGCCCTGGGATCTCGGTCCCGAGCAGGACTGTGTCTTGGGACACCTCTCAGCCTCCACTTGTGTCCAGAATTTACACCCCTGGTTTGTCCCTTGACAGTCCCTGTCGCCTCTAAGGACACCCACTTTCCTTGAGAGCCTCTGAGCTCATCATATAAGAATGGCTGTCAGGCCACACCCTTGCCTCCTTCTTGGACATTCCCAAGCCCCTCATCCTCGGATCCCACAGCCCAGGGCCAGCTCAAGTGACACCTGTGACAGCCCCAGTGCCAGGTCGGGATGCACTCAGAGCAGAGGCTAAGAAGCCAGCTCTGAAACAGAGTCCTCCTGGGAACGCAGACATCAGCTAAGGAAGACACAAGGTACTGGAGGGAGGAGTGTTTCTGAGGTCACTTGGGAAAATAGATCCCAGCAGGCTGGATGCTGTGGTTCCCTGCATTCCAAACTCAAACCCCTGTCATCCCAGCACTCAGGCGGCTGAGGCAGGAGGATGGCTGTGAGTTTGAAGTCAGCCTGGACTGCATAGCAAGATCTCTCTCAGAAAAACCAAAAAGAAAAAAGAAAGATGGGCTGTTCTTCTAGCGCCTCAAGACTATCAGGGGTCGGCTACAAGCAGTGAGCTCGGTCGGCATCTCCGGGGGCATTTAAGAAAAGGCAAAGCAGTGTTTGCAGAAAGTGATTCCCCTGTGTTCCCTTCATCCCTGTGTCTCCCTTTTGATCAAAACCTGAGTGGCATGTTTTCCAGGCCCTCAGCTTCCTGCTGCCTCTGAGGCCAAGCTTCAGCGAGAGCCACCGAGGTCAGGGTGACAGCCCAGACCTGGGACAGCAAAGGGACAAGTCTCGGGCTATCCCGACCACGGGATGGGACACAAATCTGAGACAAGACTACCAGGCTGTGCCAGGAGCAACTTGGCTTCCAGCATGGCCTGAGAAGGCTGGAACACTTGGGAAATGGCTTTGTAATGTGTGTTTCTCACATGTCAAATAAGGGACAGACAGAGAAGGTGTCCTGGGTCCCGGAGGCGAAGGCTGCCCCAGGCCTGTCCCTCCTTCGTGTCACCCAGGACCCCTCTGCTCCCCACGATGATTCTGGTAGTGACGGTGACCATGCAGATGTACAGGTGGCTCTGAAGACCCCAAACTCTCACTCCAGTGAATGGCACCCCCATCGATGGCGACACAGGATGATGGACCGGAGGGGGTCTCCAGCAGATGCCAGGTGTGGCCACCACGGCTTGTCCCCAAGTGGCCCCAGGCACATAGCGCCACCATGAACTTTTCTTGGGCCAGGACATCTGTGGGCCGAAACTTCTGCCCCCCCAGGAAACACAGTGGGACCACCTGTCCCCATGGCAAGGGACAGGCCACTCAGAGCCTTCTGGATCACCAGCAGCCACAGGCAGCCAGAGACAGCAGCAGGCCAGCGAGGTGGGAAGCCACCCCTGTCCTGGGTGTGAGCCGTGTACACAGCTCCAGGCTCGTCCTATGTGGGGCCATTGTTCCCAGGCAGCTGATGAGGTGCCACCCCAAGGTTGGCATTCCCATAGATTTGCATCTGGGAATACTTTGGGGTAAGAGGTGGTGGTGGACCCCGAGCCCTTGTGGTAAAGAGATGGTGGTTTCCCCTCTTGTGACATGTGGGGTGTGGCCTGTCGCCTCCTCAGAGTGGCACCGTGCATACCCACCCTCCCAGCCCATTCTTTGGTTTTTACACTCAGAAATAATCATGATGGTAGCTGTCGTGACGGGGAGATGCCATCTTTATGGGCTCTGGGGGGTTTATGGAAAATGAATACATCATTACTGGGAAGGGAGGTCTGTCTCCTCTTTTCTTTCTTTTCTTCTCTCTTTTTCATTTGGTGGTACTGGTCCTGGAACCCAGGTCCTTCCTACTGAGCTACATGCCCTCAGCCCTTTTTATTTCTTATTTCAAGACAAGTTCTCACAAGGTTACTAGGTTGCCCAGACTGGGCTCCATCATGTGATCCTCCTGCCTCAGCCTCCTGAGTGGCTGGGATGACAGGAGAGCTCCAGCCACACGTGGCCTGAGTGTATGCTTTAGTAAGTTACTTTCTTCAGGCCTGAAACTTAAAGGATATGCCAATCATCTCAATAATCTAGATAATCCCTATTTTAATGTAATCTCTTTATTGTGATAAAATGCACAAAGCATAAAATTTACCAACAGAGACATTTCATACATTCACAATGTCCAGTAGCCACCACCTCTAATTAGTTCAGAACATTCCGTCTCCCCATAGGAAGCCCCATCCGTCCCCATGAGCTGTCACTCCAACCCCTCCCAGCCCCGGCACCCACAACTCCACTTCCTGTCTCTGGAGTCGCTTGTCCTGGGCATTTCCAGTCCATGGAGCTCATGCTGTGCAACAGCATGGTCGCAGTTTAATGCCACCAGACCTGGGCTGTTTGGGTGCCTGGGCCTCCGCTGCAGCCTCGTGTGGACCCCAGAGGCCTCTGCAGGCATCCTGCCAGGTCTTGGTGACAACTCACTGTCACTAAAGCCCCCAGGAAATTCTCTCTCCCCAAGGGGCTGGGCTTTCCTGTGTCGGATGAAACTCATGTCACAGACTCAGCCGCTCTGCCCAACTGCCAAACAGGGAAACTGAGACCCAGAAAGGTCCAGGGCAGAAGCTCAGCCAGGATAAGAGAAGGAGAAGGTTAGGGGTCATCCAGGAGAGACCGCAGTGGTGGGTATTTGTACCACATCCATCCCACATGGGCCGCTCAGGAATGTCACCCACACCACTATCTCAAATCCACATGGTGAGTGAGAAGCTTTCTGGGGACGGGACATGGAGGATTCAGAGCAGAGAAGGGCCCAGACCTGACTTAGGCTTGTGTCACAAAGCTCCCTCAGCTACCACCTGGGCAGAGAAGAGGCCGTGGCAGGAGTGACCAGGAGGCCCTAGAAGCCGCACAGTTACCCAGGTGAGCATAGATGGAGGCCTGCAGGGAGGGATTTCCATCTGTGACCATCCCCTACCCTGAGGGCTTCAAACCACAGAAATGTGCGTGGCGCAGCTCTGGAAGCCAGAATTGCAAAATCCAAGTCTGTGCAGGCCGTGGAGGCTCCGGGGAGTTCCTTCCCGCCTCTCCCGGCATCAGGGCTCCGGGTGGTCATGGGCTTGGGGATGCCACAGCCAGCCCTCTGAACCAGGGGACTTGTCAAGGAATTAGGACCCTGGAATCCTTTCCGGGGACCCCAGGTCAAAGTCAGGCATGGGTGAAGTACAGGATCACTGCATTGTAATAGAACACAGGAAAGAGAGGAGTTCATAACCTGGAGGTGTCCAGTGTGGGGGTGAGAACACCCATTATTCTCTGAAAAGACCATTCCCATCCTCCTTTCTCCTTTCTCTCTGAGTAGCCAGATTGTCTACCTGTGTATCACGCAAACTAACTTCTAGGAACAGGTTGACCAGGTGTGGTGCAGGCTGTTACCACAGCACTTGGGAGGCTGAGGCAGGAGGATCACAAGTTTGAGCCCAGTCTGGGCAACTGACTGAGACCTGGTTTCCAAAAAAAGGGAAAAAACCAGCTAGCCCTGTGGAAATTTTCTAAGAATCCTGGCGCTGTCTCTTTTTGCTGTTTTTCTGGTCTCTTCCTGTTGTCATGGCGACTGTCAACCATCATGGAGCCAGAGGGCAGGAATCTTCCAGGGACACGCAGGACAGTGAGAGGTCTTCAGCCTGCAGGTGGCCCAAGTCAGCGTCACTATCCTGGTAGGGTTGCTGGGCGGGCGGTGTTACCACATGGTGTCCCTGGGGCCAAGTAGGCAGCACCCACTGTCCTGACTTCCAGGAAGCACAGAGTGTGACATGCGCCAGGTTCTGTCCCCAGCACCGCAAACACCAATGACAGAAGGGCCGGATTTAGCTCAGCAGCACCACATCTGCCTCGTAACTGCAAGGTCCTGAGTTTGATCCCTGCTACCGTAAAAAAGGAAAACAAAAATGACAGCAAAACAAAAACAGAAAAAGGAGGACTAAGAAAATACCAAAAACTGGGGAGGATGTGATATGGAGCAAAAGGAACTGCTCAGGGTCACCATGGGAACATGACCCCAGGCAGCAGTTGTGGGGAACAGCCTGAAGCTCCTCAGAAAGTGCACCTGTCATCAGGAGGCTGAAGCAGGAGGATCTCAAAGCCAAGCCCAGCCTGGGCAACCTAGTGGCTCTCTGAGACTTTATCTCAAAATAAAAAATTAAAAAAGAGTCGGGGATGGGACTCAGCATAAAGGCCCTGAGTTCTATCCCCAGTGCCACACACACACACGCAAAATTTTAGATTATGTGAATTTTATGTCACTTAAAGTTTAAAAAGCAGAGACCCTTTTCCAGCCTGGATAGACGAGATGTCACAATAGCAGAAGGGTCAGAAAGATGCTGTGTTCCTTGGCTCTGCAGGCGGAGGAAGCGGCTGCAGCCAGGGCAGGGACTGGGTTCTCTTGGGAGCTCCCCCACCAACCGAAACCGGACTCAGCCTCGGAGGCTGCCTAAATCATCACCCAGGGAAGAAGGGTCACCTTCGCTGAGCTTGCACTAGCGCCACCCTCTTTTCCCACCTGAGGGCCAACAGTTGGCAGTGACACCCAGGACCCCTTCAAGTGGCTCTGATCCAGCATCCGCACTTCGAGCTGTTCTCCTGCAGCCACTGCCCAGGGGTCCCAGGGAAAGCACGGTGACTCGGGACCCACCTGGCCACGGCCGCAAGGGGAGTCGAGCTGACCTGTGGGCTTAGCACCATGTTGAGTCCGGTCCTTCGTGTCCCTAGAAGATTTCTGCCCTCTGGTGCCCTCATGATCGACAGTCACCATGACAACAGAAGAGACCAGAAAAACAGCAAAAAGAGAGAGGGCCTGAATTCTTAGAAAATCCCCACCCATCCCAGGAGACCCCATGACTGTTCCTCCTCTCCATCAGTTGTCTCTCTCCTCCATTCCACTCAACCTACATCCATGACATTCTTGAGCTGGGTGTAGTGGCACACATCTGGCATCTCAGCACTATGGGAGGCTGAGGCAGGAGGATCGAAAGTCTGAGCCCAGCCTAAAATAAAAAAGAGCTGTGGATGTAGCTCAGTGCAAAGGCTCTGGGTTCAATCTCCAGTACTGTAATAATAATAATAATAATAATAATAATAATAACAATGTGTAGTGGTTCATACCTGTAATTTCAGCTACTCAAGAGGCTGAAGCTGGAGGATCACAAGTTTGAGGCCAGCCTGGGCAACCTAACAAGACCATACCTCAAATGAAAAACAGTAAGTCTGGGATTGAGGCTCAGTGGTATGGTGTTTGCCTAGCATGCGTGAGGTCCTGTGAGGTTCTATCTGTAGCACCAAGAAAGAAAAAAGAAAGGAAGGAAGGAAAGAAGGAAGGAATAAAGGAGGGAGGAAATAATGACTTACTTAAATCATTATGTAAAAAATGATGACTACTTATATGAACATTATTACCTAAAAAGCTTTAAAAATTGTTCTTACAAAACAGTTGTTTCTCATTTAATAATTATAATCAAGTTAAAATGTAGTGGGTAAATGTTATTATTTTTAAATATTAATGAATGCTTTAACTTTTCCTCACTGTTTAATATGTGATGTGCTACATCATGACTGTCACCCACTTCAACAAAAGCTACTTGGAGTCCTGAGTCCTTTTTAGGAGTAAAAGAAGCTGGATATTGTGGCACACACCTATAATCCAGCTACTCGAGAGGCCGAGGCAGAGGATGGCAAGCTCCAGCCTAGCCTGGGTAATTTAGCAATTTAGCAAGACCCTGTCTCGAAGTAAATAAGACAGTGTGAAGGCCCTGGGTTTAATCTCCAGTACTGCAAAAGAAAAAGAGACGGAGATGTGTGTTGGTCAACTCGCTGCAGTTGTAACAAATGCTAGAGCCAATCACTCACAGAGAGGAAAGGTTTATGCTGGCTCACAGTTTCAGTAGTTCCAGTCCATGGTCAGTGGCCTGGATGCAGGGGGAAGTGTGCGATGACATAAAGCTGCTCACCTCCTGGCCAGGGAGCAAAAGAGAGGAGGGGACCAGGACTCAGGGACTCCCTCAAGGCCACACCCCAATGACCTCACTTCTTCCCACTAGCCCCACCTCTTAAAGGACCCACCACCTCCCAACAGCAGCCAGCTGCAGACCGCACCTTCCAGATGTGGGCTTCGGGGGATATTCCAAAGCCTCCCAAACTACAGCAGCTCCCACACCCGCAGTCAGCTGCCCTTGAACTCCAAGTTGTCTGGTGGCTGTGCATCCTGTGGGCCTGTAGTGACACACTATCTGCGACCACACTTCAGCCTCACCTGTTTTCCCAAGAGCCTGGGGTCAGCAAGAATCCTGTCCAGAGGTTCGGCCAGAGCCCCCGCCTCGGTATCCAATCACCCTTGATGTGGAACTGAATCCCTCCCACCCCAGCCCCGCAACACAAAGTGTGTCTTAGCTTTTTTTTTTTTTAATGGCTGAACTGGGGATTGAACCCAGGACCTTCACACTGAGCTACCTCCCCAACTCTGTTTATTTTTTATTTTGAGATGGGGTCTCACTAAGTCTCTAGGTTGCCCAAACTTGGAATTCTCCTGCCTCAGCCTCCCTGACTGCTGGAATGACAGGCATGTACCACCACACCCAGCTCCATTGAGTATTTTAATAGTCATCCAATTATTTTTTTCTTTGCCAATAATATGGGGATCAGCACCTCTCCAGGCTACAATGGGGCTGATCCCAATTAAAGCAGAACTTAAAATATCAGTTTTCCTAGCTGAAAGCAGCTCCCCGCTCAGCAAACCCCCACCTCCCATAACTGCTGAGCTACTTCAGATAAGGTAAACGGCAAGATTCTTGCTAACAAGAGTCCTGTGAAGTCCTGGTTTCTCGGGAATCTGCCTTCCTACAAGGCTGACTTCCTCCTGGCTTTGATAAGGTAGACAGTCATATATTCCTGTAAATGAAGTCTGTAACCTCTGAGGAACTGTGTGCTCGCAAAAGATACAGTTAATGGGCTGGGAATTTAGCTCAGTGGTTCCTATGCCTACCTCGAAAGCACAAGGTCCCCAGTTCAACCCCCAGTACCAAAAAGAAAAAAGGATACAGTTACGACTGACAACTGTGATCCTGGTTTATATCATCCTCAAACTCCTGATTTCTGGTTCTCAGGGCTAAGCTGATGTCTTTGTTCCTTTCTGTGCCCACCCCTGCAAACATTGTATAAAAATAAGAACATTTCTTGGTTCCACACTTGGGTTTTTGGCCCGGAGTCCACTGGAGTGCACCTGATAAAGTCCTCCTGTTTCCCACCGGTCTCTCTCCTGCCTTGGAATTCTGCAACACAATTTCTCAGGCCACACCGTGGGCCCCTGGGGTCCTGCTGAGATTTTCTGGCTGGCCCAGGCCATGAGAGCAAAGCTATCTTGGGGTTCAGTGCCACTCTGGATCCTGAGTCAGTCCTGGGCCCCATCTTTGGGAAAAGGAAGTTCTCAGCAGGGCCGGCCAGGACTGAGTTCCCTTCCCTTGCCGTGACCAGGCTCAGTCTCAATGTCAGTCAGGGTCAGGCCCGGGGACACACCGTGGCTGATATTTTTAGGGAAGGGAGCTGTGCCCCTCATGATCTGGCTTCTCTGGCCAGGAGTGGGGAGGAGGGAGGAGAGGGGGAGGGGGAGGGGAGGAGGAAGGGGGCTCCCCGCCCTGGCTGGGACTAATTTAGGCAAAAGCACCCTGCGCTATTTCCAGCCACAGGAACAGGTGCCCCCCCACCCCCACCAGGCAGCCCTGCCTGCGGCTTCCTCCCCCGGGACGCCCTCCGGGATGCCTGTGCCTATAAAGGCACCAGGTTTTCTCAATGAATCGGGACAGCCTGGCAGCAGGTCACCGAGGAGTGCACCGGCCCCGCCCCCTCCATGGATATGAAGTTCGTCGTGGGCATCGGAGGGTGAGCCCGAGGGGCGAGGGCAGCAGGGAGGCGGGGAATGAACCCAGGAGGTTGGAGCCACCCAGCCAATCCCATCCCCTAAGGAACAAGGGGCCGCCAAGTGCAGGACCCGGTGTTTCATTTTTCCAGCTGGAAAGCATTCTCCCTCGACTTTATTTAGGGGAGTAAAAAAATCATCCGGGCAGGGTGGTCCACACCTGTCATCCCAGCATTCTGGGAGGCTGAGGCAGGAGGGTTGCAAGTTTGAAGCCACCTGGGAAACTTAGCGACTTAGGGAGACCTTGTCTCAAAATAAAAAATTTTTTCAAGGGCTGGGAGTGTAGCTCAGTGTGAAGGCTTTGGATTCAATCCCCAGGACAGCCAAAAAAAAGGGGGGGAAAAATCAGTAAATTAAGGCCAGGCACTCCCTAAAGGACCTTGGGCCAGCCTTGGGCTAGCCCAGGGACAGACACATGGGCGCATGGACCAGAGTCCCCAGAACACCACTGTCCCTGAGCGGATAAGGCTCTGTAACAACCAGAATTAATGTCGGGCATTTGCTAACTTGCTTTTTTTTAAACACAGGTTCTTCCCTGCTTCCTCCTCCAACCTTGAATATTAATTCTCTTTCTTTAAAAAATAAATAAATAAATAAACACAGGGTCTCTCCATGTAGTTCAGGCTGAGCTTGAACTCACTATGTAGCCCAGGCTAGCCTCAAACTCAAGACAATCCTCCTGATTCAGCCTCCCCAGTGATGGGAACAGGGGCGTGCATCATTCACTCGCTTCTAACCTGCTTTTTCCCTATAATATTTCAGGATCCCTTTTTCCCACCAGCCCCTTGTAAGGGTGATTGTCTGTTCCCCTGTCCCACACCTGCCTTCCTTATGCCCCAGATGCCTAGGACAGAGGAAACTGAAACAGGAGGTCATCACTCTCCAGAAGGGCCTGGAGGTTGACCTTTCTCTGATCCTTGGTCAGTCCTAGGAGGCAAGATGAGTCTTTTTCTTAGCCATGGGGAAGCCTGCTGTCCTGGTGCCCAGGACTGTCCTCAAGACTTTAAGATGTTCAGTGTCAAATCTAGAAAACCAGCTGGGGATTTAGCTCAGTGGTTCTGCCACCTGCCTCAAAAGCACAAGGTCCCAAGTTTGATCCCCAGTACCAAAAAAATAAATAAATAAGTAAAACTAGTAAGCCAGGACAGGATGGTCACCCTAAAGTACAACTGACTGTCTGACTCGCTCTTTCTTTCTCTTTTTTCTTTCTTTCTTTCTCTCTCTCTCTCTTTCTTTCTTTCTTTTTCTTCTTTTTCTTTCTTTCTTTCCTTCCTTCTTCCTTTCTTCTTTCTCTCTTTTTGTTGTTGTTTGTTTACTGGGGATTGAACCCAGGGAGCACTGAGCTACACTCTCAGCCCTTTTCAATTTTTTATTGTGAGACAGGGTCTCACTAAGTCAAAAGCTGCCCAGCCTGGGCTGAAACTTGCGATCCTCCTGCCTCAGCCTCCCAGACTGCTGAGGTGACAGTCATGTGCCACCCGCCTTACCCATCTGGGTTGGGTTTGCCTGTTTCTGTTTTCTTTGTGTCTTTTGGTTCTAAGTGAGGTTGGACATCATTTCTGAAGTTGATTTCATTTTTCAGGGTTTGGTGGGGACTCCTAGCTTTTCTGCTGCAAATATCTCTTCTCCCCTGACTGCCCCTCCCACTGACCCTGGGCCTCTGGGCTCCTATCCACCCACACTGGTCCTTCCCCCGGTGCCCCACAGCCTCAAGCCTGCTCTCTCTGCAGTGTGACCAACAGTGGGAAGACCACGCTGACCAACAGCCTCCGCAAGGCCCTGCCCAACTGCTGTGTGATCCACCAGGACGACTTCTTCAAGGTGCCCAGGGACAATGGGCTGGAGGGGCCGCAGGGCAGCAGCCAGGCCCAGGCCAGCCGCCTTCTGCAAAGTGGGCTTATCTGGCTGCTTTGAATGAGTTTTCTTTTCCGAAACTAGGAAGTGAACCCAGACCCTTCACTCTGAACTACAGTCTCAGCCCTTTTTCTTAGTTTTCATTTAGAGACAGGCACTCACTGAGTCACTAAGTTGCCCAGGCTGGGCTTGAACTTGAGATCCTCCTGCCTCAGCCTCCCAGAGTGCTGGGATGACAGGCGTGCACACCCACACTGGCTTCCTATGGCTGCTTACTCAGGGTGGGAAAGGAGGATAATGCGCCACCTGGGACCTGGGAGCAGGGGGCAGAGGCTGCAGGAAGCCCCAGCCTCCCCGCTGTGGGCTCGCAGGTACCCAGTGGCCCAGGGAAGAGGAGGAGATGGGGCTGGCAGAAGCGAATACTGAGACCCCAGCTCAGGCTCCTCTGTTTCAGCCCCAGGACCAAATAGCTGTTGGGGAGGATGGCTTCAAACAGTGGGATGGTAAGAACAACGGCCACCCCCTGTCTCTTGGTGTCCTCCGTGGTCCCGGGGTCCCGTCCTCCAACACCCACTGTCCCTGCCTCCCCAGCGCTCGAGGCTCTGGACATGGAGGCCATGCTGGGCACTGTGCAGGCCTGGCTCAGCAGCCCCCAGAAGTTCGCCCGCGCACACGGGGTCAAGCTGCAGCCCGACGCCCCCGACACCCACATCCTGCTGCTGGAAGGCTTCCTGCTCTACAGCTACAGGTGAGCGCCAGTCCCGCCCCTCCCCAGCTACACTGGTTCCTGTGTTGACACAAGACCAAGCGGCGAGGCCATGGGAGGCCCAGGAATCCTTCTAGAGCCCAGCAACCCAGGCTGGACCTTTGGATTTTCTGTGACACATCCAAGAGCAAGACAGAGTACCTCCCTGTCTGAATTGAAGGATCTGAGCCAGGTGTGGTGGTGCACACCTGTCATCCCAGCACACAGGGAGGCTGAGGCAGGAGGATCCCCAGTTCCAGCTCAGCCTAGGCAACTTAATGACTTAGTGAGGCCCTGTCTAAAATTAAAAAATTAAAAAGGGTTAGGGATGGAGCTCAGTGCAAAGGCCCTGGGTTCAGCCCTCAGTACCTCCTCAAAACTGGAGGAGCAATATGACTCTATTCTCAGGGGTCTGCCATGCTGGGTCCCTCCCTGACCCTGAAGTGAGCTGGCTCAGGTCTCCTGGAAAGTCCTGGGCTCTGACCGTGTCACCTCCCCTCCAGGCCCTTGCTGGACGTGTACAGCCGCAGTTACTTCCTGACGGTCCCCTATGAGGAGTGCAAGTGGCGGAGAAGGTGTGCAGCAGCAGGAGGCGCTGTGGACCCGCTTCCCTGTGTGCGGTGCCTGGCTGTGACCCTGTGTGACCCACCCTCGGGGGCCCTGGCTGGGGGCCATTTCTGTCCTCTGTCTCCCTCGCAGCACCCGCAGCTACCCGGTCCCTGACCCCCCTGGGCTCTTTGACGGCCACGTGTGGCCCATGTACCAGAAGTATAAGCGGGAGATGGAGGCCAGTGGTGTGGAAGTAGGTAAGGGCCCTGCACCCCTGCTGCATCTCAGTCCCCTCCTCTCCTTCCCCACGGCGTTACAGACAGCTGAGTCAGGTAGAAATGTTCTAGGCATCAGACAGGGTGAGGCCCTCCAGGGAGGCCGGGCCGGGATGAAAACGCAGCAAACTGTGACTAGAGGCGCGTGGAAGATTAAAGTCACCATGGCCAGCTGTGCAAACTTCACTAGGGGATAGAGTGACGTTTGAGGTCATCAGTACCACCCTTTGGAGATTTCCCATATAAGCAGGCTGTCATCTGGCTGGCCGGCCAACCTCCCCCACCCACTAAGACTGCTAAATCTAACCCTAAAGACAGAAGGAAGCCAGGCATGGTGGGGCACACCTGTCATCACAGCACTCGGGAGGCTGGAGCCTGAGGCAGGAGGATGGCTGTGAATTTGAGGCCAGCCTGGGCTACAAAGTGCGTGCAAGGCCAACCCGAACTACATAGACCCTATCTGAAAAAAACCAAACAAAAAATAAAAATAAAGACAAGACTGAGACTATAGATTATCGACCCAGGTTAATGATGTCATCCATACGCCCTGGCTATGTGCCCTGCTTTCCTGCTGGATCAATAATAGTTAAGCAACTCTATTTGTAATCTCACTGGCTGAGTGTATAGTTTGATCCATGCTGTACCCACCTCATGATTTTGCCCTGTGAAAGTCTCTCAGGAAAGTGGGATCTGTGGCAACCCACTCTCGGGTCCCCTCCTGTCTCTCAGGAGCTATCTCTCCCAATAAATTTTCCTACTTTAACCTCTGTTGTTCCTTAGAACTTGTTCCTCAATTTAGGGGAACACAAACTCACCGTATCTGACATCTAGCAGGTTGGGAGTTACATTTTTCCCCTATCAAAATGAGAGACAATCTGGAAGTCCCTCCTTGAGTCTCACCTGCAGTCTCTTTTTTTGAAACAGTCTTGCTCTGCAGTTCAGGCTGACTTTGAACTCACCATGTAGCCAAGGCTGGCCTAGAACTCACAGCGATCCTCCTGTCTCAGCCTCCCGAGTGGTGGGCATGCCTGGCTGTACCTGCAGTGTCTCTTGTTGTTGGTGCCAAATGCTGTTCTATGCCCGCAGCCTGACTGCAAGTCCACTGCCTCTGCACCCAGCAGAGTCCCTGTGCCCCGCACATGGGTGGCCCTGGGACCCCAAGGCTGACCTCGGCCTCTCTGATTTCAGTACAGCTGGACGGCACGCAGCCCCGAGATGCACTCTTCCTGCAGGTCCTGGGCGACATCCAGAACTTGCTGCTCAACCAGGATTCCAGTCCCAGGATAGCCGGTCCTGGGCAAGCAGCCGGCCACTGTGTGGCTGTGTCCCCTTTGGGGACATCTCCAAGGAGTGTGTGAGCGGTGTCGCGAGGTGCTGGGATCCCAATGCCTTTGTGACCTCGTGGTGGCTTACGGAATAAACTCGGTCCTGTTTTTATAATCCTTGGTGTCTGGCGTGTTCCGTCTGAAGGGCTGAGAGGACCCTCCTGGCTCTCTGGGGTCTCTGGTAGCCTCTGGGGTGGGACTGAGAGCCCTGGGCACTTACAGCCTTGGGCTATTTGGATCTCTGCGTGGGATTCTCTGGGGCCTCAGTTTCTCCAAATGGCAAATTTCCTGCAAGGTTTCAACCAACAGCCAGAACCTCAGAGCCAGGCCTGATGTTTTCCCTTCCGTGGGCTGAGCTCTGCCCTCTCCTGCCCTGTCATTGTCTTCTGTGACTAAAGCTGATGTCCATATAATAGGTTTTCCAGAATCTTCCTTGTCCCCAAACACCCATAAAGAGCTGGGCATGGTGGCACATGCCTGTAACCCTGGTACTTGGGAGGCTGGGGCAGGAGGATTGCAGTGAGTTTGAGGCCAGCCTGGACTACATGGTGAGACCCCACCTCAAAGAAACAAATACCAGGGCTGGGGATTTAGCTCAGTGGCGCCACATCTGCCTCGAAAGCGAAAGGTCCTGAGTTCGATCTCCCATACCGCAAAAACAAAACAAAACAAAACAAAACAAAACAAAACAAAACATGAAGGACATGCCTCTGTCCAGGAACTGAGCTCATCTTCCCTCCCAAGGAATTCACATTTCCTGGAGACCCTCTCCGCACACCCTCAGGGTGGCATTTTATTATTTCTGCCCACTTCACAGAGTGAGAAACTGAGGCTCAGATTAATTTGGTGGAGCTGGGATTTGAACCTGGGTGACCCAGATTTCATTTCCCCCCACCTGGTACTGAGGATGGAATCCAGGGCCTTTGCACTGAGCCACATCCCCAGCCCTTTTCATTTTTTATTTTGAGACAGGGTCTCGCTAAGATGGGCAAGCTGGGCTGGAACTTGCCATCCTCCTCCCTCAGCCTCCCAGAGGGCTGGGATGACAGGCGTGTGCCACCACATGCAGCTATTCTTTTTGCCCAAAGTGAACTGGAAGGTCCGGCGGACCCAGGATTGGGGTGGCAGGATGGGGCATCCCTTGGTCAGAGGGTGACACCTCATGGGCACCTGCTGAACCGCAGCTGCTGGCCCCCTTCAGTCCAGAAGGGCACAGGACACAGGTCAGGTGGGTTTGGACACAGCAGTGGACATTTGGAAAGCACATGGGTGCACAGAACAGAAAGAACCAAATCCCATACCGCACAGCACTCTCACTCCTAAGAAACTTTTTTTTGTTGTGTTGTTACCGGGGATCGAACTCGGGTCCTTGCTCTTGGGCAGCAGGCGGCAAAACCACTGAGCTAAATCCCTGGCCCTGATCTCACTCCTAAGAATACACAGAAAAGAATTGAACAGGGTGTAGTGGCGCACACCTGTCATCCAAGCTACTCCAGAGGCTGAGGCAGGAGGTTCACAGGTTCAAGCCCAGATTGGGCAACTTAGCAACTTAGCAAGACGAGACCCTGTCTCAAAATTGAAAGAATAAAAAAGGCTGGGGCTGTAGCTCAATGTGAAGGTCCTGGTTCAATCCCCACTACAACCAGGAAAAAAAACCCTAATTCTAAAAGAGTAATTATAATGGTATACTATAATGAAAGTTGTGTATAACTTATGGATTATTTATCTGGGGGATTTTCTGTTTAATTGTTTCAAACCGTGGCTGACTTCAGCCAGCTGAAACCCTGGGATGTTTAAGCACAGATAAGGGGAGTTGCACCCAGGTCAGCTAATTACAGGGCACGTTCATTTGTGTAGCCCAAGAGCTAAGAACTGTTCCCTATTTTGACTGTTTATGTGTTTATTCCTTTTCAGTGCGGGGGTCGGAACACAGGGCCTTTACACATGCTGGGCAGACAGTATACAACCAAGGTGGACTCCCAACCACTGGCTTTACAATTTTAAGTGGCCAGGGAAGAAAAAAATACAAAAAGAATTAAATTTTTCCACACAGGCAAATTATATGGAATTCAAATTTCAGTGTCTATAAATAAAGTTTTATTGGCACACAGCCATGCCCACTTGAAACTGTTCTGAGCTATTAACAGCTGAGTTGAGTCGCCATGGCCGTTCCAGGCTGTTCTGCAAAGCCAGAAATATTTACCATCTGTCCCTCTGCAGGAAATGTGTGTCGATCCATGTGGTACATGCAAGGTCCAGGGTGGAGGGCCTCAGGGGACAGATACAGCTTTGGGGACAGGTGACATCTGAGGCCCTCGTGCCTGGAGGACAGTCAGGAGCGACTACGGGAGAGAGCCCAGGGGCCTTGCCAAGCCATGACCTTTGCCACAGGCACGCACAGTGTCAGGCGGATCTGCCACCTGACACTGTGACCAAAATAGTCCAGGATGGGACAGGGACACGGGAGAGGTGGCTCTAGGACAGCCAGAGTGCTGCTTGGCCAGTCAGGCATCTTGGGCTTTATTGTTAAAAAAAAAAAAAAAGAATGATTGGCACACACTTGTAATCCCAGCATTCTTGGGAGGCTGAAACAGGAGGATCTCAAGCTTTAGCAGCCTGGACAATTTAGCAAGACCTTGTCTCAAAATAAAAAAGATAAAGGTCAAAGGATGTGGCTCAGCAGTATTGTGCCCCTGGGTCCGATCCACAGCGCAAGAAAAGAAAAGAAGGGCCGGGGATTTAGCTCAGTGGTTCTGCTGCCTGCCTCCCAAGTGCAAGGTCCTGATTTGATCCCTGGTGCAAAAAAAAAAAAAAAAGTAAAGAAAAGAAAAGGGGGGAGAGGGGAGGAGGGAAGGGGAGGAGGGAAGGGAAGGGAAGAGAATTCCTGACACCTGGCACAGCATGGAGGCCGTGCTGCTCAGTGAGATGAGGCAGACACGGGAGGACACGCAGTGCAGGGCCCCACCCCCAGGAGGCCCAGCGTGGTCAGATCCACAGGGACAGGAAGGAGGACGGTGCCAGGTTGGGGAGGGGCGGGGGTCAGCCTTTCCTGGGACAGAGCTCAGCAGGGGAGATGGAAAGCCCCGTAGGTGAACAGTGGGGACGGCACAGCCGTGGGATGCTCTCGATGCTGCTGAGCCAGGTGCTTAGGCATAGTCAAGATGGTGAATTTTGTTTTATGTATATTTTTTCAAAAATTTGTTAGCCAGGTGTGGTGGCACACACCTGTCATCCCTGCACTCAGGAGGCTGAGGCAGGAGGATTGCCTTGAGTTCAAGGCCAGCCTGGGCCACATAGTGAGTTCAAGGCCAGCCTGAACTATATAACAAGACCCTGTCTTAAAAATTTGGGGGAGCGGGGCCAGGGATCTAGCTCAGTGGTGCCGCCACCTGCCTCACAAACACAAGGTCCTGAGTTTGAACCCTGGTACCAAAAAAAAATTTATTTTTTTTTGTTAAAAAGAACAGGAACACTAGCAATAGGGCGACCTGCTGAACATGATGCCTGTCATCCCAGCTCTCAGGAGGCTGAGGCAAGAACATCACTGTAAGTTCAAAGCCAGCTTGGGCTACATAGTGAGACCCTGCCTCCAAAAAATTAATAATAATAATAACAACAACAATAATAATATTAATAATAAAAATCCAAAGAACTACTGAACCTAAAAATGCTTGGTCACACATCACATCTCTCTCAAGGACACCCAGCAGTCAGCCTCCCCCTTCCTGAGAGTTTCAAGGCCAAGATCTATCTCAGTTGAGAGTATTCTCACTGGTCCTGCCCCAGAGGACCCGGGGCTGTGGATGTCTGGGGACACTTGGGCTCCTGGTGTGGAGCAGGCAGAGGCCAGGGCAGTCTGCTCTGGTGACAGCAGATGGGGGCTCCAAGCCCGTCCCCTGCCCCCTCGAGGCTCCCAGCACGGGACACATGGCTCCCTCAGGGCCCGGGCAAGGGCTGAGAGCCCAGCACCCCTGGCTGCACCCTGGTGGCCAATACCTGTGTGGGCCAGCACCTCCCCAGCCCCCGGACCTTAGTGGGGCCAGGCCTGGCCATGTCACAGGTCCCCCTGCCTGGGGGCTCCCTCCTTTGTCCCTGCAGGGCACCACAGGCAGGGAACCCAGCCTAGGAGGATGAAGGCCACCTGCCCCTGCCAGGAAGCTTGGAGGCGACCTTCTATGCTCCCCTGGAGATGGGCGACAGGAGGCCAGGAGCAGGGGCCTGGGCCCGGGGGATCCTAGAAAGTTGTCCCAGGATTCCTGGGGGCTGAGAGGACGCCTGGCTGGGATAAGGCTCCTCAGAAGGTTCACCAGTCAGGAAGCTGATCTGTACTCCACTTCCTGCTGGACATCTCACCCCTCCCCAGTGGCCCTCTGGAAAGACACGCAGACGGGCTGATGACCTCCCCTGTGGGCCGGACGTGCCCTGTCCCCACGGCTCCCCCACCGGGGCACCCAGCCCCCAGGTGGTCACCCGGCAGAACTTGGGCCTTCCCCTCAAGTCCTAACAGCTGTGGAGGAGAGAGGCAGAAACCCACCCACCCGGTCGGGAGAGGACAGAGACCAGCACTGGGGACAGAGGCTACACCTGTCACCCACATCAAGTAGCACTCAACCAGCCTCTTAATCAGCAGTTACTCAGCTGCCGCCACCCCCACCCCAGGGCCCCACTGGGGCCAACACAGTCACCTCCAAAGGCCAGCCCGCTCCGGCCGCTAAGGGGGGGTGTTTGGGGCTGACTCAGGGACCAGCCACGGCCAGGGGGAGGAGCAGGCTGAAGGGGAGAAAAGCTGACAGCTTCAGAGGCCGCCATGCCATCTGCCACAGGCCAGGAGCCCCCAAATCTTCCTGGCATTCTCAAGGGGGCTGAGGGATTCCAAGAAGCAGCCTCAGCTCCCCCTGTTCCCAAGGAACTTCCAGAAGTCCTGGGCAAAACTGGGAGTCAGAGAACACAGGGGCTCTGCTGCCTTCGAGGTAGGGGGACAGGGATGGCAGGGTTGGCAGCTTCTAGAAAGGGTGCCTTGGGGCTCCCACCAAAATGCCAGGCAGAGTGTGGTGATGCATGCCTATCAGCCCAGCACTTTGGGAAGCTGAGGCAGGAATTATCTCCAGTTCAAACCTACCTGGGCACCTTAGGGAGACCCTACAAAAGACAAAAAGGGCTGGGGATACAGCTCAGTGTTAAGGCTCTGGGTTCAATCCCCAGTACCACCAAAAAAAAAGAAAGAAAGAAAAAAAGAAACCTTCAAAATATAAAATCTCATGGGGCTGGAATAGGGGGCAGGAAGATGGGAGGGACCCCAGCTCAAGCCTGGCCATTCACCTCCCCCACAGCAAGACACACATGCATTCTTGGGGTCACCTGGCCTGAAGCAGGGGACCCCGGCTCCATCCCCTCTAGAATAAGGAGAACTGGAGGGCAGGTCCAGCCCCTAGACTGTCGCTGCTCAACTTCTTTCTCCTCCTCCTCCCACCATCCTCTCCAGTCTGGGACAGTCCCAAGCTGTCCTGAAGGCCACCAAATCAATGGCCTGGGACAACTGAGTGCCACCACGGATCTGTGTTTCTCTTGCCCTGTGAACGGGGCGTCTCATGCCCACACTGTTCGCTGTGTGACTCCGAGGCGGCCGCCGAGGGCCGACATTCTGCGTGGGGCCGGCCATGGGGTGAGGCGGGGGAATGGTTTTGGTACTTACTTTTCTTTTTGTCTCACAACAGGGGGGTTAAAGGTCTCAGGGGCTGAAGGAGCCACCCGGGGCTGGCGGGCCTGGCTTTATAGAAGTGTCACCCAGTGCCCAGGGGCAGAGTGCCCCAGTTATTAATAGCGGCTGCCGTGTCCTGCCCATACATGGTCAAGAACACGGCTGCCGTGGACTTGGCTGGGCTCAGCTGGCTGCCCGCCCCTGTTCCTGACCCCTTAGCCACGACAGCATATGTCAACTCTTCCCTACAAGAAGCAGGGATAAGCTGGGTGTGGTGGCGCACACCTCCAATCATAGCACTGGGGAGGCTGAGGCAGGAGGATCACTCTGAGTTCAAGGCCACCCTGTACTACATAGCGAGACCCTGTCTCAAAACACCTCCCCACATCAATCCTCGGTACCAAAAAAAAAAACACCTGCCCCCCAAAAGGCAGGTGGCTCCCTTGTCACTTGGCCAGTGATTTGCCTGCTGCTACATCTGCTGTGTGAGACCCTGATAATCCTTCCTGTCCCCTGCATGGCCCTAGAGGCCTGTGGTGTGCTCCTCCCCGGGGCTGTAAGTATTGTGACTAATAAACTGCAGGCCCTCATACATAGCCAGTATCAGGTGTCATGTGCTATGCCATCTGTGTCACCCTTTGGCAGGACCCCCACAGCCACTCATAGGGTGCAGCAGGCCACTGAAGCACAAGCTGCAGAGCCTGTGGCCTATGAGTCCACAGCCTGGTCCTGGCCAGCATTTCTGACCCCATCCAGCCGGGGCTCTGGGTTCTAGAATGTTCCACCCCCACCCAGAGCTGCCTGTCTGCCACACTTGGTCCGGTTTGAACTTTTCTGGAATTTCCTGTGTAGCTGCCCAAACCTCCCTGCTCGTCTTCGGTAAGTTGCAGACTGTACGGGGGAGAAACTGAGGCTAGGGAAGGTGAGAGGGTCACTCCGGGTGTCCCAGGGTGAGCCATGGCAGAGCTGGGGATGCCTGGCTGGTCTGCTCTGGTGGGCACATCCACCTGCCCCATGCCTCCTATGGAGGTCCCCCATGGTGACATGGTCCCTACCCAGCAGGGGACAGACACACTGTTATCAGTCACCCTTCTGTCACTGTGACAAAATACTTGACCCACAGAACTAGAAGAGAGGTTTAATGTGACTAATGGTTTCAGTCCTTCGTAGCTCAGAGTTTCAGGGGATTCAGTCCGTGGAAACCAGCACTGAGCAGCAACAGCATGGCAGAAGAGTTTGGCAGAAGAGAGCTGCTCTCATGGCAGCCAGGAAGCAGAAAGAGGGGAGGAGCCCGACAGGAAGGACCTGGGGACCAGATAGTGTCCCCAAGGCCATCTCCTCTGTGACCCACTTCCTCCAGCTGGCCTCAGTTCCATCACTTGTCATAATGCTGGGGAGGTCAGCACCCTCATGACCTGGTCACCTCCCTAGCCCCACTTCTGGGCACTGTGGCACAGGGATCAAGCCTTCTGGACATGAATCTTTGGGGGTTACTTCATGTGCAAACTGTGACTCACCCATGCCATACCCAGTCCCAGGATGTCCTTGAATCCATGCCCCCACCAGATGGGTCTTGCTTTGGTTTGGATGAGTTTGGTCCCCATCATGATTTTTAAAAATTATTTTATTTTGAGACAGGGTTTCCCTAAGTCACTAAGTTGTCCAGGCTAGGCTTGAGCTTGTGATCCTCCTGCCTCAGCCTCCCAGAGTGTTGGAGTGACAGGCATGTGCCACTACACCCAGCCTTCTGTCCCTCTTCCCATAAAGCTACCAGAATTCAACCATGGGGGCTCCATTCTGATGGCCTTATCTAAGCATAATTAGCCTCAAAATGACCCATCTCTAAACACCATAGTTCATTCTTGAGATCTGCCTGCCTCAGCCTCCTAAGGAGCTGGGATGACAGGTGTACACTAACCTTTCTTCTCTATGAAGTGATCCAGTCACAAGCATTTAATTAGACTAACACAAAGTAGGCAAATATAGACCCCCAGGTCCCACCCCTTTCCTGTCCTCCTTGTCCCCCTCTCTGCCCCTGATCTCTACACAGTGTGACCATGAGGCCTTCTACCCAGCAGGCTGGGCCGCCTGCTGCCATGCTTCATCCTGCAGGCCGAACCAGCCAGCCAGATTCTGCTGGGGCAGCAGGAAAAGGCTCAGTCAGCAACCAGCATTTTCCTGACCTGGATACCAGGGAACCGCCAGGTACACACCAGTCCTGGTCACAAGCCCAGCATGGGTCCCAAAACGCCAGCTCTGTGGCAGCGGCCTTGCCCAGTAGTGCACACACAGGATGTCTCAATCTGAGAGCCAGTGTACACATTTGTGGGTCACCATGAACAATGACAACAAAAGCCAGGTGTGGTGGCACATGCCTGCCATCCCAGCACTGGGGAGGATGAGGCAGGATGATCACCACAAGTTCAAGGCCAGCCTGGACTGCATACCCATCCTTGGCAACTTAGTGATACAATGAGACCTGGTCCTAAAATAAAGCATAAAAAAGAGGCTGGGGTGCTGGGGATTTAGCTCAGTGGTTTTGCTGCCTGTTACACAAATGCAAGGACCCAAGTTCAATCCCCGGTACCAAGAAAAAAGAGGCTGGGGATGTAGCTCAGTGCAAAGGCTCTGAACTTGCAATCCTCCTGCCTCAGCCTCCCTGAGCACTGGGTTCACAGGCATGTGCTACCATGCCCAACAGCAAGTTTTTTTTATTGTGGAAAATATATCTAACTTGAAACTGACCCCCTTTGACATTTTTGAGCACCCAGTTCAGTGGCCTTAAGCACATTCTTGCTGCTATGTGACACGATCTCCACCAGCAAAGCATCTCTGTTCGGGTGCTGCAACGGGACCCCCACGCTGGGGCTGAAACAATTGTCCATTATTTGCCTGGAAATCCTCGAAGACCAAGGTGGCCCTGGGCCAGGTTCCTGCGGAGGACCAGCTTCTGAGCTGTGGACGCCACCTGCTGGTTCCATCCTCTCACAGCAGGAAGGGCGAGCTCCTGTCTCTTGCTTCTTACAAAGGCCTAATCCCAGGACTAGGGCCACACTTCCATCCCTTCTGTACCTAATTCCCTCCAAAGGTGCTGTGGGCCTGTCATCCCAGCTACTTGGGAGGCTGAGGCAGAAGGATCGCAAGTTAGAGCCCAGCCTGGGCAATTTAACAACTTAACTAGATCCTTTCTCAAATAAAAAAAATTTTTTTTAAAGGCTGGGGAGGGGCCAGGGATTTAGCTCAGTGGTTCGGCCGCCTGCCTCACAAGTGCAAGGTCCAGAGTTCGATCCCCGGTAACCCCCAAAAAAGGGGGGGACTGGGGATGTAGCTCAATGCAAACACCCTGGACTGTGGGGAGCGGTGTTAGCCATAGAGGCTCCATGTTCAATCTTACCCTCCATTGTATAGAGCTAGGAGACTATGTTATGAGGAACCGCGTCCTTGCCAACTTAGATGTTTACCTTTAGAAATTGTCCTGGAAACATGATGAGCATTCTGTAACCCTGAGAAACAAGAAAGCCCATGAAGGTGGGGAATTTCCAAAGAGCTAGAGAACAAGGAAGCAGGTGTCTTTGGATAAGGGTCATGATTAATGACCAAGCTCACCTGTGATATAAAGGGAAGGAGAAAAATAAACGGGTGCTCTCAGTCTCCCTGGGAGCCCTCCTGACTCTATTTCTGTGTCTTTCTTTTTCTTCATCCTCAGTTCCCCATTCAGGTGCTGTTCGACAAGTGACAGCGGCCTCCGTCACTGGACTGAACCCCCAATACCACACACACCCACATCTCCCAAGGCCATCACAGGGGCTGGGGTTTCAGCAAATGAATTCGGCAAGGGAAAATCCAGCCCGTAGCCCTCCCCACCTCCAGGACTTTCCGTCTCCCCAGCTGAGCTCTGTCCCAGGATACGCTGACCCCCGTCCCCTCCCCAGCCTGGCAGCACTACCTCCTTCCTGTCCCTGTGGATCTGATGACGCTGGTACCTCCTGTGAGTGGGACCCTGCGGCACATGTCCTCCTGTGTGTGGCTCAGCTCCCTGAGCAGCGTGGCCTCAAGGTCCGTCCAGGCTGCGGCGGTGCCAGGACTTCCTTCCTTTTCCTGGCTTCATCATGCTCCAGCGTATGGTCAGACCCCATTTCTGTTCCCCTCCCTCTGTGAGTGGACACTGGGTCATTTCCACCTTCAGCCTGCCGTGAAGCATCCTGCTGGCACCACAGATGTGCGAGCCAGGCACTTATCTTACTAACAGGTGGCTCCATCACCCTGGGCTGCCCCAGCTGTGGCACCGGCGACCTGGGAGCTGGTTCCTTGCTGCCACCTAGTGGCTACCTGTTTGAATGGCTTCTGTAGTGAGGCTGCCGACTTCCTGCCCAGAGGTCAGCAAACTCCAGCCATCTGGCCAAATGCTGCGTATGGGGTTTTTTGGGGGGGGGGGGTGGAGAGAGGGTACTGGGCTTGCTAAAATGTGCAGGCTGGGCTTAAACCTGCTTTAGCCTCTCAGAATCCTGGGATTATAGGCATGCAACACTACACCCAGCTCCAGTGCCTGTTTGTATAAAGTTTTATTGACTCCCAGCCATGAACATTGATTCAACCTACAGTAATTTTTCCTCTAGGATGACAGGTAGTGACCAGAGGAACAGCCTGGTCTCCAAAGCTGAAAACACTGTTTTCCTTTGCAAAAAGACAGGAAAATGTCCTTGAGCAGCCGGAGCCTTACAATACTGCATCTCTAAAGAATTAAGTGCGAGACAACTACTATTGATCTGGACTTTGCTCTTTGGCTAGTCTATTGTGTTCACCACCAAAGTGGCTGAACAGGTCCAAGAACAGTAGTAAGTCTCTGAACTGCCAGGGCCAACTCCAGCTTGCAACATGAAAATGTCTCGCAAAAACCTGGCAGGGGCTACTCAGGAGGCTGAGGCAGGAGGGTCTGGAAGAGACACAGTGTATAGCACAGTTGAATATGCAAGGTCCAATTAATAGCACTAAAAGAACAACTGCTCCCGTAATCAGCAGTCATTTCTACCAGTGTGATGTAGGGAAAAGATGTTTCCCAAGAGGTTTCTAGGACCAGAGCTGTAGCTCAGCAGTGCCAAATCTGCCTGGCAAGCACAAGGCCCTGAGTTTGATTCCTCATACCAGAAAAAATAAAAGAGATTTCTGGACTAGACATACCACATACTCATTGGCAAAGGTCTTGACAGGCTGGGCCAATGAGTTACCAGGAATCTAAACACAACACTCAGCTTTAATGATGGCAGAGGCTCCCACCTAAGCAGTTGTTAAAATGTCAAAAGCCATCACATTTTGAAGAACCACTGTCTCATTAACTGGACTTGGGTATTTGAGAGACCGTCCTTGTTGGGAGTCATTAAAAGGTAGCTGAGTGTAGTCAGCTAGCGACTCTGCATGTGAATGACACCCTCTAATCCTAGAGAAGAGTGAAAATGGAGGTAGGGTCACAGCAGCGAAAGACACTTTGGGACCACAGCCATTGGAGGGCTGCTGCTGGGCGATGTTTCCTCCCATCTGGCCATATACAGTTGTCCCACACTGGACAATATTCATCTTGGCATCTTTGGTTATTAGGTCCGACAACAAGGCTGTGACCCAAGGATTTAAACAACTGGGGCTCAGCCAGTGACCACATGGCCAGAAAGGTCTTGTTACTCCCTGGGCCTGGAATTTATGGGCCACTTGGTTGCCTTGGCAGGATGGGCTGTCTGACAGACACCAGGGGACCTATCTGTCTGGTCAGTGAGGTCTTGTGACTGGCTCCAGTCCTCTCTCCAGAGGTGGCACTCACCCGGGCGTCCTGAGTGCTGGGTGTGGGAGGGAATTCACAGACCCCGCGTGCTTCTCCTTGAACCACTTCTCAAATTCCTCAGCTAAGAAGGAGTGCACAGGTTGTATAAGAGAGGCCACAATGACTACGAGAATTAACTACTTCTGAGAAAGTAGTCCTTTTTTTTTTTTGGTAGCAGGGATCGAACTTGGGTCCTTGGGCTTGTGAGGCAGGCGGCAGAACCACTGAGCTAAATCCCCGGCCCCAGAAAGTAGTCTTCTTAAATAGAAGTTTTAGGTCATCCCTGGGTTCACAAAAGTGCCCGGGTGATGGGTCGTGCTTTCAGGAATGTCAGACTTCCATGGGTAAAGCTGGGCTTGGTGTACCCAGGACTCCAGTCCCAACGCCTTGCCTGCTAAGTTCAAAGAATCACCAAGTTCGGCCCCTCCCAGATGGGCTCTAGAGAGAGGAGAGATGTCACCCCTATCAGGTCCCCAGGCTGAAATCCTGGGAGCCCCAGTGCCCGAGGTTGGGTGTCCATTAGTTGAAGAATGTGTTGAAATTTGGTCATCGAGGAGATAGGCAGCCATATCCTGGTCAACAGAGAGAACATTAGTTAAAAATGGTCCCCTGTGCAACATTTCAAAAGGGCTCAGCCTAGAGTTTGAGGTGAGTCTCTGTAAAGGCCACTGTGAGAAATATCAAAGCCCGAGAGTCTGAGGACACCTGAGGACACAATCTCATCATCAAGCACAGGCGCATGATGGGGCTTCATTATATAATAATGAATCAACATAGACAACCACGCATGTGCCACACAGCCTGCAAGGCTGCCCAGAATGTTTTGTCTTAGTAAGCTGATAAAAGCTACTATAACTTCTGTGCTGGTAATTAAAGTTTGGTTCCTGGTTTGTAATGTCTGCTCCATGCATGTTCTTTTCTTTGGGAACCCCTCCTGACCAGGCCTCCCTTCAGCCCACCAGACCCAAGCTTCGGCTACTTCCAGCCAAGGTCAACTAACTACAACCAAATTCTTCCCCTCTGAATTAACCATTTGTTCTCTTCTGGAAGAGATATCCCAGTGTCCTTGCCTGCGATAGTGTTACCAGCAGGTGTCCCAAGGCCTGGCCAGCTCCCTCCTCCCCCACGATCATAAACATTGGATGTCCTTGGTGTCTTTTTGTATTTCCAATAGCGGGGATCAAACACAGGACCTTGCCCTTGCCAGGCAGCCTTGATGTCTTTTGTCTTTGCTTCCCAAAGCAGCTTGGATCAGCCCAAGAGCCAGCTTCTCTCAAGTCTCTTGTCTCTGTGTCTTTTGTTCTCGCCTTCCTATATCACGGACGTCATACTGCCTCACAGGAGACCGAGACCCACAGTGGGGGTTTCCAGTATAAACCGGGGGCTCTTATACACTCCCCTCGATGGGGATGATTCCCCAGGGCTCCTTGCAAGCTGACAGTCTGATTGGAGGAAGACTGTGACGGGTCCCCCGGTGGCGAAGCCCAACCGACCTCCAATACTGCTTGACAAAGTCCCAGCTGGGGGAAAGGGTGGAACACATCGTACCCTCATGTTTTATTTTTTCTTGCCATAATGTTTATAATTGTTACTCTGATCACAGGAGTCATTGTGTTTGTGGCTAACAACAAACTCTCCATGAGGCAAATTGGCAATGATATATTGAAATCTGATCTGGCTCATAAGCCCCAAATTCCAGTTTCTCTTAGTTCTATTGCCACATCCACTCCTAAAGAAACCTCTCCTAAAACCCCCTCTGTTTCCCCACTACTATGACTCCCCCTCTTATTGCTGACATTCTGTTTACTAAAGGGGTCTTATGAAGAGACTGAAAGGACAGACTTTGGATGAAAGAAATAGTGGAAAGCGGGAAAAAGAAAGAAAGTTAAGACAGGTAAATGCATTAAGGGGGCAAGTTACTCAATATTTCTCAAAGTGCTGTAAATATCTCCTGCTCATGGACTGTGAACCCAAATGACATTTAGTTAAGATGAATAGAGGTATAGAAAAATAGAGAGCTAATAGCAAACTATATTAACCATTGTGCAGTTTCTCAAGGGCCAGCTGGCGACCACAAGTTTGACATTTAATTGATTAAATCTTGCTTGTACTCCTGCTGATATAGAGATTTTGATTAAGTTACCTTCTGTTCTGCTTAGGTGTGGGTAAATAAGGGAAAATTGTCATTTTTAAAAATGTATTCATGATGTTCAATGAAATGAATCAGCTTGGAAAAAATATACCCTGTTTAGCAAAAAATAACCTTTACTTCAATAGAAATTGCTAAGGCAACCTAAAATGTAAACATGTTCCGCCCATTGCCTCCTAGCTATTGCTTAAAGATATAAAAATAAATCAGACCCTGAGACTTCTCAGCGGGAACCTGAACATTGCTTGAGAAGGTTCTTTTCTCATCGCCGGCCCAGGACATCTCCCCTTCCTACCCTGCATCGACATCGACTACAGCTGGTCTGCGGCACCCTGGAGCCTGCAGTCCGGTAGGAGCACCTGGTAAGATGGGTTCGACCCTGGGACCTTCGTCTCTGGATGTCCAGTGATCCCATTACAGACTGTGGATGCATGGCTTGGGCAGCCTCTTTTGGGGGAGGTCCTGGTCACAAACCCTCCTGCAGTGCCTGGCTTCCCACAGCCATAGCAAGGGGGAGCAGCAGAGTGCATGTTGGCCTTAGGGTCCCTCAAAGGGCAGCTACCAAGGAAGCTGCTTTTTCCTTTCCTTGGCTTCCATCCGGTCTCAGTTGAAGACTGAAGTGGCAACTCTTACGAAACATCTAGTGAGCTCTCAGGGACAAAATCATTTTTTTATGACTTTCTCCTAGTACCAGAGACTGAGTATTAAATTTATCTTTAGGGATGACTTGTAGCTAGGTGTGGTGGTGCATTCCTGTAACACCAGCACCTGCAAGGCTGAGGCAGGAGGATCATCACCATGAGTTCGAAGCCAGCCTGGGCTACACAGTGAGTTCAAGCCCAGCCTGGACTACACAGCAAGTCCCTGTCTCAAAAAAGAAAACAGAAAGGTTGACTTGCTCTTTGACTGAGTCAGGAGCTAGAGAGGTGTATTTAGTTAGAGCTTCCCACAAGTGTGCTAAAACACCAAGGGGTTTTCTTTGCTTCCCTGATGAATAATTGACAACTTGGGATAATTGATGGGTTTTTATTTCATTTGTCTTTCTTTTTTGGTACCAGGGATCGAACTCTGGACCTTGCACTTGCAAGGCAGGCACAGCGCCACTGAGCTAAATCCCCCACCCTCAGGTGTCCTTTGTGAGAGGAATGCGTCCCCCACCGTCCAGTGCATTTAACCTGTGCAGTCAGGGTCACTTAGCTGCTCCCGTGGGTTTCTGCAGGGGTACCCTGGGGTGACGAGTGTGTCCTCCTCAGAGACCATCCTCCTCGTCCTTAGCCTTTTAGGGCCCCGCCTGACGCGGCGCGAGTGCTCACGTGGAGTGGGGGCAGGAAGGACACACTGGGCGTGGGGCTGGGCTGGAGTGGGCTGGTGGCCTGGACCGGGCGGGCAGGAGTCCCCAGGCTCGGCCCAGAGGCCCCACCGCCCCTCCAGCCTCCACCCCAGCGCCGGCCTTGCAGGCCCCGTGGGCGGCTGCTGCCCCCTGCTGGCGGGAGGGCCCGCGGCTTCCGGACCGGAGCGCTGCCCAGGTGACTCGGGTCGCACGGTCCCCTTGCTGGAATGTGGCCGAGTAGCGACCAGGGGCGACGATTCCGCAGTGTCCCGGCCCCCTGGGAGTCAGCACCGACCCGTGTGTGCCCGGGAGCGGGAGCGGTCACAGTGGCCATTCGCTGGGGACCCCGGGCCGGGCCGAGCGAGGTCAGCCACCCAGCCTGGGTGCGTTCCCGGCCTGCGCGCCTCCAACCTCGTGTGGTTAATGAGTGGGTTCCTCGGAGCCCCGCG